ACAAACATAGAAGCCTCGTCTGATTGGCAAGCAGCACCTAATTATGTTCAAAAGAATTTAAAACGCTAAATGGGGTGATACCCTATTTAAAAAATAAAACAAATTCTAATAGTAATAGGTAGTGTAATCTACACAACAAGAGCAGTGTGTGGGTGAGGGGGGGCAGTGTTTCGATGTGATCTGGTTATGTTGTGGTTCTGTGACTGCTGGTCTCGGTTTCTGTATGGTTTAAAAATATATATAACAGTTGAAGTAACTAGTTAATTTCGATGTAAATCAATTAAAGTTAAATGATAATCTAATATTTTGAGCAGTTTTTGTGTGTTTGGGCAGGTTTTGGACTGGAACTTTTGGGCTGCAAAGTCAGCAATATCTGGCAACAATGCGTAGGGCTGCATTTTGTTTGTAAAACAAACACTACGAGGTGGTATGACGCCGTTCCATTTCGTGCGTAGCAGCTGACTGCTTACCTCCGAATGGACAGCTTTCCCGCTGTTACCAGTTTGTCTATTTAGCTCAACATTTAAGTTCGTGGACTTAAGACGCAGAGATTCTATTTAATTCAAAACATCTTATATCTATGGCGCTTTTACAATATAGATTGTGTCAAAGCAGCTTCATATAGATGATTATAGTAAATTGAAACAATGTCAGTCCAGCTTTCAGAGATGAAGTTCGATTTAGCTCAGTTCAGTGTGGTTTAATATTCACTGCTGAGAGCTTAAACACTGAAGAGCAAATCTATTGATATGCAGCTCTATGGATCCCGAATCATGCAAGCCAGTGGCGGCAGCGGCGAGGAAAAGACTTAAGCAAAAGTAAAGAATTAAAAACCTTGAGAGAATCCAGGCTCAGTTGGGCATGACCATTTCTCCCAAGGCCAATTCTCTTGTGCAGAGCTGGCTCCGGAGGCTAGAGAGCGCTGGATGTCCATCGGCTGGTGTACAGGCTGTCGCTTCAGGATCAATGAGGAGATGACCACGACGACAGGGTTTGAGTTCGGTGAAGAACGGTTCCAGAAAGCAGGTAAGACAGAATCAATAAAACAAAATACACTAGTAAAAAACAGGGTGAGAATATGGTAAAAGTCAGACGAGGGCTTTTCTTTTTCTGGATTGCTTTTTAAATTTGGATTTAGGGAAGAAGGAGGGTGGGTCAGTAGATCGGTCAGTCAGCGGCCTCTGGTGGATTTACTTGAGAACAGCAGACATTAATGGCACTTGTATGAAAAATTTGAGATCTCAAAAAAGATCTCTCGTACACAGTGGTCTCTAGTGGATAACAAATCCAAAATCTGCAAAATAAATAAATAAATAGCTCCTGGGACATATTTGGCAGTCTCCAGATTTGTATATAGAGGTACGTTTTCAGATGGAGACAGGGTGGATTAATAGGCAGCTAATTAGTAATTTATTAAGCTAGTCGTGTTAGTTTTTTTTTTAATTAATTGTGACCTAAAGTGTTATCACAACTGCTTTTTAATTCCAAAACTTGTATAAAATTCTAAAACTTGTATAAAAAATAGGATCTGTCTGTGGGTACAAAATCAATCAATCAATCAATAAATCAATAAATCAATCAATCAATCAATCAATAGACCAATCAATCAAATCAAAGAGCATCTCTAATTCATTCTTATGCATAAGAGTTTCTGATGTAAACATGCTGCACAGATTGTTTTGCTTGCTTAATTACTGATGTCTTTGTACAATCATCTTTCTTTTCTTTCATTTCTTTTCATCATTACAGACTTCTTGAAAAATCAGCTCGGCCAATAAAGACAATAATGGGCTCTCCCTTAGCTCAGATTTATGTGTTTATCTTCGCTTATGTGTTTAAGTTAGCAAAACTGTACTGGGGCCGATCATTGCAGACATCATGCGAGAATATGCTCAATGGCACATATAATCTAAAAACAGCAGAGTGCTCCCTCAAAAGAGTGAATGCAAATAACATGTTAGAGCGAGATGGAATAGCAAAAGTGGGTTTGCTCACAGGCTTCCAATATATATCCTCCTACTCATGGGCGATCAATGCAACGCTTACAGCTTCCACGCTGTGTGCATCATCCTGTTGCAAAGCAAGTGCCAATACAGTCAAAGTTGAAACTATGCCAGCGACAGGGTTTGCGCTGTCTTTGTTTTTCATTAAGGAGAAATTTTGGCAGTGATTTATTGAATGGATCTTAAAATCTATGCGAGTCCGACAGGATAAATAATTTGGTGAATGCAACATCCAACAAATCTGAGGTCCTGAGTATGGTTATGCTTTGTGTTTTTTTTAAATACATATATGCATTTCAATATTTTTCAATCTGGACTTATCTGTGTAATGTGATGCATATAAAGCTGTGTTTTGGTATTTCTTGCTAAATAAATCTAACACAAGCTAATCCCCATAGGCTGGATTTGATGGAAAAGATGATGTGCAGGTTATTAGGTGCAAATAGCCTTTCTCCTGTTTTATTTCCTTTGAGAACCACTATAAACACACTTTGAATGCTCCTTAAAGCCATTAGAACTATAATCTATTTCCCAAAACAGACAAGAATGGTTCAATAAACCCATTCACATGGCTTAATTTTAACAGTGCTGATTTAAAGCTCTGTTTTTCAGCAGATGCCTTGCACTGAAAGCGAACTGGATATTGTCCTGCGAAATGTATAAAGTTCTTTATTGGCATTGGTGATTCTACGAACTATAAAATAATCCACCGTTCCAGTCCAGAAAACTGTATTTTTTTAAAGTAGATATTATTATTATTATTTAGATATTAAAACGCTCATTACATTAAGTAACTACAGTCTTTGGCGAACAAAAATTGGCTCTTCTATGGCATCATTACAAAAACTACATTTTTGAAACTTTTTTTTGAAAGTAATAGTTCACTCAAAAAAAACCAAACAAACAAAAAAAACATTTGTCAACATTTACTTACCCTTAAATTGTTACAAACCTGCTGGGGTTTCTTTCTTCTTCTAGACACAAAAGAAGATATTTTAAAAAAAGTTGGAAACTGGTAACCATGATCTAGATTGGACATGCGATCTGAAAGTGCGATATGAACATCAATATAGCTGCACGGCTAGACGTTGATAAAATACAATAAATGGAAAATTTTAGAAATAATATAAATAATTCTAGTTTACTTCCGGCTGCAAACGTATCCAATCTAGCAACAACTGGTAACCATTGACTTCAATAGTTTTCCTGGTTACCCGTTTTTAACATTTTTCAAAATGTCTATTTTTTGTGTACTGTATGTTAAACAAGAAACTCATAAAGATTTGAGTGAACTATCCCGTTAGAGTGAAGAATAAAATTAAAACAGAGGTAGTAACAAATTAAAATGACTTCATTACATTTACTTAAGTAAAATTGTTGGGTCACTTTGAAAACATTTAAAGATGTGTACTTTTACTCTAGTAAATGTTTAAAGAAAAAACTTTACTCTTACTTTGCTACATTTGGCTGTGCTCCTCCGTTATTGTCAAATGATTCATATGACAGCATAAATAATTGTTTTATCTAATACTTTTAAAAGATACTTTTACTTCAGTAAAACTTTTCCTCAAGTACTTGTAGTTTTTTACTTGAGTATAGCTTTTCATTCATTCATTCATTTTCTTGCCGGCTTAATCCCTTTATTAATCCGAGGTGGCCACAGCAGAATAAACCGCCAACTTATCCAGCAAGTTTTTACACAGCAGATGCCCTTCCAGCCGCAACCCATCTCTGGGAAACATCCACACACACACATACACTACGGACAATGTAGCCTACCCAATTCACCTGTACTGCATGTCTTTGGACTGTGGGGGAAACCGGAGCACCTGGAGGAAACCCACGCGAAGGCAGGGAGAACATGCCAACTCCACACAGAAACGCCAACTGAGCCGAGGTTCGAACCAGCAACCCAGCGACCTTCTTGCTGTGAGGCGACAGCACTACCTACTGCACCTCTGCCTCTCCCCGAGAATAGTTTTTATGTACTCAAAAAATTGTTATCGTTAAGCATTACTTTTTTGAATTATGAGATTTTGATACATTGATATATAATTATTCATTCATTTTCCTTCAGCTAAGTCTCTATTTTAGAGGTTGCCACAGCGGAATAACCCACAAACTATTCCGGCATATGTTTTACTCAGCGGATGCCCTTCCAGCTGCAACCCGGTACTGGGAAACACCCATACACACTCATTAACATACACACTCATACACTACGGCCAAATTTGTTTTACCCAATTCACCTATAGCGTATGGGGAAACTGGAGCACTCGGAGAGAACCCCATGCCAACACGGAGAACATGTAAACTCCACACAGAAATGCCTCTTGGACCAGCCAGAACTCGAACCAGCGACCTTCTTGCTATGAGGTGACAGGGCTAACCACTGAGCCCCCACACCAATATAACATTTTAGTAATTATATTTAATAATATAATATATATCCTATAACCATTTTATATAATAATAATTTACAATATTTATATTGATAATAATATATTAATAATATTTAATAATTTATTTATTTTAAAATATGTTTTTCTATTTAGGTATTTGTTACTCTTTCATGTATTTTTGTAAACATCTTTGATGTAAACATGTTTGATGTATCCCCTGCTACTAATGTAAAAAAGGAGAAAAAACACATTCACAATTCTTATTCAAATTATAAATCTATTATTTATAATATATATAAAATATACAGACCAAAAAAATTAATTACGAGAAAAAAGTTCCCACTCAACAATTAGTTAATATACATTATTATTATTACAATAATTATTAATAATAACCATATAACCTATTATTATTGAACGACTAGTACTCATCATTGTGTTGACTATCCAACAGAAAGTATTAAAGCGCTATTGTTTCTGTACACAGATTATAAACAAGCATTCAGCTATCCACTTAACTAAGTTAACGGCGATGACATCACAGGGGCTGTTGTAGACGCGCTTGTCCTCGGAGGAGCAGTAATGATCAGGCATCAGCCGCTGATACACCGACACCGCTCGTCTCCAACTGCTCTCCGTCTCGTGGAGTTTCAACGGCATTTTATGGGGGAAACACTAGATGCAATGGACGAAATATACAGTACGTGTGGATTACTTCTTCATTTAGACGAGTAGGCTATTCTTTTGCGGCGATGGTAAGTAAGCCACTTCAAATTATGGCAAAGTTGGTTGCATGCGTTTCTTTCTTGTTTTCGTGACAATAGAAAGAGAAGTGTTGGCTACAGTATAAGCTATTTTAATCCGTGGTGATATCTGTACAGTTAGGATGACCTGTATAAGACGTCTGCTCTTAGCCTACTTGCGTTGCTTATTTACTTTAACAAGGAGATTAGAGGGACAAACTTCCACGTATCATTCTGTGTAAGGCAGTTGTCGGATTTGTCGTAGTAACTTTACCAACTCGTGGATGCAATCCAAATAACCTTCAAAATAAATTGTAGTTAAATATATAGTTGACAATATATTTTTGGCTAATATTTAAAGTGTTAAATTTGTTGTGCCAGTCAATATATAAAAACACTTTAAAATGTTTACTTTGCATTAATAATAATTTACATAAAACTATTCTGAAAAACTATCTATCTATCTATCTATCTATCTATCTATCTATCTATCTATCTATCTATCTATCTGTCTATCTGTCTGTCTGTCTGTCTGTCTGTCTGTCTGTCTGTCTGATTTTATTTTAAGAAACTAATAAATATGCCCATTACTACAGATTCATTTCCAAGCGAAGACAATTGATTGTGTTAATGCTGTAAAATATTTCAGAAATATTATATAAACAATAGTACAGCAGCATGCAACAAAGGAAGTACAGCAGCATGCAAATAAAGTGTGGATCAGCACTCCATTGAGTACTTAAAAAAAAACAAAATAATTATAGACAATTACAGTTGGATAGCCTATAATGATTGTGAGCAAATGTACAACTAAGTTTGGACAATTTCAAACTCGCAGTAATAGTTATTTGATTTAGCGTTCATGCTCACAATATCATTTTAGTTTTGTGCAGCTATAAATTGGCTACTTGTGTATTGTGTTTTCAATTCAAATGCATACAGTGACTTCAGTATACTGCTTACATGTCTTAGGCATGCCATATCAATACTCTATGAGCACTTCTCCATGAAATCCTTCTAATTTCATTAATGCTCATTGAATACTTTCTGATGCTTCAAAAATGTTGTTCTTACTGCAGCAGTTATTAGAAATAAGTATTTCACATGGTTGTCTAATCATTTAGTTTGATTTCTTAAACGTTTTCTCCCAGGCATCAACTGATGAATCACTGATATTTATGTTAATGTGACATTTATTTTCATCCACCTGTTGCTCTGTTTTTTTTTCCAGTCCTCTCTGAAATCACCTGTAACAATGGGTAAATCCTGGACTAACCATCTTCTAGTGCTCTTTATGTGGATATGCTTAGGTGCCCAGCAAATGGAAGATGCTTTGCCTTTTCAGTTTACTTATCCATTTTATGATGTGACGATATATGAAAATTCAGCAGCAAAAACTTATGTCGAATGTCCCATAAAAATGGGAATTTTTATGACAAATCAATCTGTGGACATTTGGTACACAATAGAATCTGGAGACCATGATAATTTATTCAAGGCTGAGACATATGTCTTGGGTAATTTCTGTTTCTTGCGAATAAGGACCAAAGGAGGCATTTCTGCCTCTCTTAACAGGGAAATAAAAGACCACTATCTACTGACTATAAATGCTATTGAAAGACACACTGGTGCAGAGGCACAGACGCAAGTAAAAGTACAAATTCTGGACATGAATGATCTCAGACCTCTTTTCTCACCGACTACATATAGCTTCTTTGTTCCGGAAAACTCTGCAGCCAGAACAAGCATAGGCAGAGTTTCTGCCACAGACGCTGACACAGGCACCAATGGAGAGTACTATTTCAGCTTCAAAGAGTGGACTGACATGTTCTCCATTCATCCTACTAGTGGGGTTATAACTCTGACAGGCAAGCTGGATTACTCCGAGATGGCTCTTTATGAGATTGATGTGTTGGCTGTGGACAGAGGTCTGAAGCTCTATGGGAGCAGCAGCAGCAGTAGCGCAGCAAAGCTAAAGGTGCATGTATTGCAGGCCAATGAACATTCACCTGTTATAACTGCTGTCCCTTTAACTCCTTGGAACACAACCAGCGATCCCACATATGCGCATGTAACTGTGGAGGATGCAGATGAAGGGCAAAATGGTGAAATTGCCTCTCTGAACATTGTAGCTGGAGATCCACTTCAGCAGTTCAAGACCTTTAGAACAAATCCTGGAAGCAAGGAATACAAGATCAAGGCTGTCAAGAAAGTGGAATGGGAGGGTTATAGTTTTGGCTACAATCTTACATTGCAAGCCAAAGATAAGGGAAATCCGCCTAAGTTTTCCTCAGCGATAGTTGTGAGGTTGGGATCACCTAGCGAATACACAGAGATTCCTAGATTCGAGAAAAGTATTTATAGAGTTACCCTAAGTGAGTTTGCGCCACCTCACTCTCCTGTTGTTATGGTCAAAACTGTAGAGAAACATTCAAAGATTAATTACTTGTTAGAATTTAAAATGCAACAACACGATAATCCATTTATTATCAATCCAAACACAGGCCTTATTTCCACCTCTGGACCTATTAAAGCAGAAAAGGTTAGTCAATATGAATTTGAAGTTGTTACTAGTGACAGACGAGCATCGACAAAGGTGGTAGTGAGTGTAAGTGATATGAACAACAACGCTCCAGTGTTTCAAAAGTCAAATTACGAAGCAAGTATTGCTGAACATGTGCCTATAGGAACCAGTGTCTTAACAGTCAGCGCTACTGACATGGATGATGGAGAAAATGGCTATGTCACCTATAGTATTGTCAATGTGAACAAACAGCCCTTCGTAGTGGATTATTTCACCGGTGTCATAAGCACCACCGAGGATCTAGATTATGAGACCATGCCAAGTAAATTCTCCCTCAGGATTCGAGCCTCAGACTGGGGCTCCCCTTTCCGCCGTGAAGCCGAGACTATTGTTTCAATCTCTCTCACTAACCTAAACGATAATAAGCCACAATTTGAGAATATCGACTGTGATGTTAGAGTGCCAAGATCTCTAGGGGTCGATGAGCAAATAATAAGGGTGTCTGCCATTGACGCTGACGATCTTGGCGTAGTGCAGTACAGAATTGACACTGGTAATAACATGAATCTTTTCAAACTGGATTCCACCTCTGGTGTGCTGGCGCTTAAAAAGTCACTGAGGGATGGTGATGCTGTGAAACAATCGTTCCACCGTCTGCAAATAACTGCCGGCGATGGAGAAATCTCAAGCACTCCTTTGTTCTTAAATCTAACCATTGTTAATGCTCCAAAACATGTCCGCTCTAAATGTGCAGAGACTGGCGCTCTGAGAACTTTAGCTGGGCTGTTGCTTTTCGGCTCTAAACTAGACAGTCAGAAAGAAACAGAGGATGAATTTGCAGACATCCATTCTGTTAACCGCCATGCTCCACGGTTTATAGAGTCCACTCCAGCTGTAATAGAAGTTAAAGAGAACCTTCCTGTAGGGACAAGCGTGGCACTCCTCAGAGCTGCCGATTCCGACTCAGGCTTCAATGGGAAATTACTTTTTGTGATCTCAGGGGGAGATTTTGATAGTTGTTTCACGATAGAATCTGACACAGGGTGGCTTAAAGTTTTCCAGCCACTCGATAGAGAAACAACAGACCGCTATACTCTCAAAATCACAGTTTATGACCTCGGCTTACCGCAGAAGTCCTCATCTCACTTGTTAGATGTCAAAATTTTAGATGCCAATGACAACAGTCCTGAGTTCCTTCAGCGCGAGTATATAGTGGATATAAGTGAGGACACGGCTATAGGAACTGATATCATTCAACTTGAAGCGAAAGATAAGGATTTAGGGGTCAATGGAATGGTTAGATACTCATTTCTCACTGAGACTGATAAATTTAACATTCATGAAGAAACAGGGTTTGTAAGTGTTATGCGTGTTCTAGACAGAGAAGCCAATCCGGTATTTGTTTTGAGAGTGGCTGCTTTCGATGCAGCAATTGATGAGCCTAAATTAGTATCAACAGTGTTGTTACGCATTAATTTGGAGGATGTAAATGATAATCCCCCTATGTTTGTTCCTCAACATTATCACATTCGAGTGAGAGAAGACATTCCAGTGGGAACTTTAGTGCTCTGGCTTGAAACTCACGATCCTGATCTTGGCCTGTCTGGACAGGTGAGATACAGTCTAACAGATGGGGATGACGGAAACTTTCAGGTGGATAAAATGTCTGGAGCTGTGTATGTCTCTCAGACTCTTGATTTCGAAACAAGACAGATATACAATCTGACAGCAAAGGCCAAAGACAGAGGCAGGCCAAACCCTTTATCCTCATCCTGCTTCATTCAAGTGGAGATTGTGGCTGTCAATAAGAACATGTACCGTCCAAATTTCCCATTTTTTGTGGATTGGGGAACTGTGCTTGAAGACGCCTCAGTTGGCACCTCTGTATTGAAAGTTGCAGCTCATGATGAGGACAGCGGCAGGGATGGAGAAGTTCGCTACTCCATACAAGGTGGTTCAGGCCTTGGAGTGTTTACCATCAATGAAGAGAGTGGTGAGTTTTTTGTAAGCTATTTTGCTTTTCTAAAAACAAAAAAAGTGAGTCTTGTTCAGTTGTCCATTGACATGCCATTCCATTTATACAAACACGTAATTAGCACCGAGGTATCAAGTATTAACAAATCCAGACACCAAAACATCAAACACACATAGACAGGCACACACACAGCACACACCATGGAGGCTAGTAAATTAATAATGAAAAAATAAGTTATCATGCAATAAATAAATATATATTATGCGTAATGTAATATATAATATAAATACGTAAATACAAGGACACACACAAAGAGTTATCCCTTGTTACTATATGCATGAATAAAAATGGAAAAAATACAATGTTCTAACAACAAGTATTAGCCTAATAGATTAATAAATGACAACTGACAATGAAAATATATAAAAAAGTAAAACACAAAAGTCCAAGTTCCAGCAAAATGTCTTGACAATCCCCTGTGATTCTTTTATGGCCTGCTTTTTCAGGCTTGCGTTTCCACTGGCAAAAGGGTACCAATGGTACCCTTTTGGGGGTGTGGTGTATGACAGAAAGTTTCAGTCGACGTCATTCTTGCTAGAGGATATGTCAAGTAAAGCTGTATGGGTGGTTTACCTATCATACAAGAAGCACTTCTCACAAAACAGAGGCTTTATACACATAAATCCTTATAAGTATAAATGTTACTAACCATTACTAACCTCTATGAACATGATTTGATTATAACTGCAGATCAACGATACTGCAAAATAGCCTACTGTAGCGTCTGCAACTATATAGAATAAATAAATACATACAACATATATCAACACATACAGACCCCTACAGTATCCGAAATGTTACCAATTACAGAAAAGCTACACACAACATTCATATAGGCCTTATTTGGCTTCAAAAACAACACAAAGCATACAGTCAGTGCAAACCTCTCATCTGTATCTTCAATCTTCACCAGCACATATGTAACGTTAACATATTGTTAGAAAGTAATCCTGTCATTCCGAGTTCATAATAGTCCAAAATGTGATGATAATAGTTAAACATGGCAGTTTGTTCATGTTTTAGGTTGCTGAAAGAATCATTCGCTCAATTGTTTTTTTACGCTTCACTCTCGCGTTTGTTTCTGAAAGCATCGGATGTCAGAAGCACTTCAGTAATCACGTGCATGTTATTATCATCAGATCAAGTTCGTTATTTCAAATATAGATGCGCACTCAAGCTTCCTGGAGAAAGTGAAGCCAGTCGTGCTTTAGACTACCTTTTAAATAACAACAGGACACAGGGTAGATTCTGTTTTATTTTCTTGGCTTTGTTGCTGTTCATCAAGATGTTTGTTTAAAGAGCCCATATTATACATGAAATAAGGTCATATCTTGGTTGTAAGGGTCTCCAACAACAGTCTAATATGCATGCAAGGTCAAAAAACACTTTCATGGTCTTATAATCTGCATTTATTTTTACCTAATTATCCCAGCGACTCCTGTATGAATCGTCCAGTGATTCATTTGTTCCCAAACCCCTCCTTAGCGCGGAGCTAATCTGCGCTGATTGGACCGATGACAGTCTGTCGCGATTGGTCGACTGCCTTCAGTCAGAGAGGGAAATGGCCAATAGCTAATCAGCAATTTAAAAAGTAATCACAGTTCATACACGCTCGATAGTGTAGGCGTGGACTTTAGCTGCCACACTATGGCCAGTGGATAGTGCCACGGATAACCGAACGAAGGAGACAGTCGTGTACTCGCCATACCACACACACACAAAAACACACACACACCTCCGGATGACAACGCTCCCGCTTCAGCCCGCACCCGCCAGGTTTTAGCCTGAGAACCCGCTCCGTTTTCTGCCCGCCGCGCCCGGTCCCGCTAGAGCGGAGAACACAACCAAATATCACCCAGTATACAGTCACACACAGCACAAAGTACACAAAGCTCGTTCGTTCGTTCGCTCTCTCTCGCTCTCTCTCTCTCTCTCTCCCCGCGCCAGATTTCTGCGGCGCGGGAATACATTTCCGAATAAATCGCGGGAGCAGAACTCTAGCACGGAGCTCCATAAACAAACAGCACGCGTCGCGTTTTTAACGTGACTTTGCACGCGATAAGATAATATATCCAGTTAACCTGATACAGTACACGCGGTTACAAGTAACAAATCACAACTAAATACATTTGCAAGCTAGAGTAAACGAGGCAACAACTTTAACCGCACGTACTTACACTTGAGAAATGTAGGAAGAAACCCATCCTGACGTCCATCAGTTACTCTTTACTGATCCTTCCTTTAACAAACTCAGATGAAGTATTCTTTGTAGCATGTAGCTTCCAGAAGTTTCCAACTGCTTGGTTATAATGCTGATGTTTCATCTTTGGGTAGAGACTCAATATATCCATCTGCAGTGTGACTTCAATCGACCGGCATGTTTGTGTGCGTGTGTTTGTGGGTGTGCGTGTGTTTGTGGGTGTGTGTGTGTGTGTGTCTGGGTTACTGCGTCAGAGGGCGGGGCCTCAGGTTTGAAATCTCCCGGGTTTGCGCGTGCACGTGAAAAACTTTGTTTCGTTCGTACGTCATGGCGAAACACCTAATGAGTCGGTATCAAGGCGACTCGTTTGAAGCACTATGATTCGACTCTTTTATAGATGAATCAACAGTTTTAAACACTGTATTCTTACAGATTTAAGCCTTAGCTGGATACTTCACTTCACTTAGAGCTGTGTTACACACTACATGGAGGGGAATTTTCAAAAACCCATAATATGGGCTCTTTAAGCTCGGGTTGACCATGGCTCGTTATTATATGTATATATTGTTATGGTGTAATGTCGCGGCTGTATATTTAAAAATGGCGCTTCCTTTGTTTTCGATTGTTGCTAGATCGAATATGGTTGCGGCCGGAAGTTAATGAGAATTAGTTTTATTATTTAAAAATTTCCCATTTATTGTATTTAATTAATGTCTACCCCCACCCCAACTCTAAACCCAACCGTCACAGTAATGTAAAAACAGTAGTTGTACTGAGTATTATTTATGCTATCTATTATCTATTAAATTATCCAATAAATTGTATTATTTAACACCTACCCCCACCCCAACCCTAAACCCAACCATCACAGTACTGTAAAAATATTAAATATTGTTATACAGCGTCATAAAAAATGCAACTATAATTTATGTATATCACACTTCTGACCGGCCGCGTATCCGATAGACTTAACCTTTGTTTTCATTCTCCTGGCTTGTGCATGAGAGAGTGACGTATCTCTGTAAAATCAATATCCTTCAGCTGCGCGTCTGGCTCGACCTTTTGATACTCTTTTGTTGTGCTAGGTAAAAGCTTACCCAAAAATGTGATACGGTACAGTACCGAACCGTACCTTACACACCACTCAGTGGAAACGTGCCATTAGTGCCATCGTGTGTATTTAGATGTAAATGATTGGCAGTTCTGCTTCGTGAATGGTGAACTTGTAAGATGGCATCATCTGAAATACACAATTTTTAGAGTTTATGAGTTTATTGTATCTAGAATGTTTAAAAACAACAACAAAAAAATCAAACAAACAAAAAAAAACATCTTATTATTGGAGTTAGAACACCTGCATAAATGTAGTTTTGGAAATAATGTCAAGTGGTTTATTATTTGTTTGCAGATGCCATGGAGTTTTGTTTACGTGATAAAAAGTGTAACTGAAGCACCTACAACTATTTTATCTTTGTTATTTGTGCCATAAGACTATATAAAGACATCTGAGACAGATAAAACGTAAGAGAGAGAAACAAAGAGCGATACGCTAGACACTTTCACCCTGAGGAAAGAGCTTATCACATTTTCCTAGAGTTGTAGAAGCCACACTGCTACCTTTAGAACAAAGCCCACAGCGTGAAAGCAGACACTGGCGAGAGACAGACGAACAAAAAGAGCTGCCTCATCTCCCCTTACCCCTCTGATTCACTCAGTATTTCTTGTACAATATCTGCCCTTTACTCATTTAATCTTTTATGCAAATGTCTGCGTTATGAATTCTCAGTTCCCTGCTTGATAAATGATCCATTTTTCGCTTCGCCGTTGATTACAGTTTTCATTTCAAAAGAACATTATTAGCATTGCGTCAGTCGTTCCTACTTTGTGTGGTTAATTTCTGCTCCGTCCTTATCTAGACTTCCGAGTTTACAATGCAAAACTTTCAGTCCCACGTGACAAGGTTTTATGGCAGCACTGTTGGTGGCATCTGAGTCTAAATATTTCAAGTGTTCTTTGTATGATATGTAGGGCATCATGTTTGTGCTTCTTTTCTTTGTCACAGGCATCATTACAACACAAGAAATCCTCGATCGGGAGACAAAAAATCATTATTGGCTCACAGTTTACGCTACTGACCAGGGAATCGTGCCGCTTTCTTCATTTGTGGAGGTTTACATCGAGGTTCAGGATGTCAATGATAATGCTCCGCTGACAACAGAGCCTGTGTACTTTCCTTCTGTATCTGAAAACTCTCCCAAAGGCGTCTCCGTCATCCAGATCCAAGCGTTTGACCTGGACTCTGAATCAAGTGAAAATCTCTCATATAAAATAAGCAGTGGAAATCCACAAGGATTTTTTGATATTGACTTCCAGACAGGTCAGTTAATTCTGCTCATTAATTCTTAACATCTGAAAAAGAAGTAAACTTCATAATGCTTTTATAAAGTGTATTTAATACACAAAAGAGCATTCACATTAGTGTGAATTAAATGTGTTGCTTATAAACACCCAAATGCATATTATTTGTCATTTATTAAAGTTGATCAGACTGTTAATTTATAATACAGTGTAAAAAAACATTGACTCAAATTGTAAGGCAACTTGCTGCACTTGCTTTTGTGTTGACACAACTACAGTACTTGGGTTTAAAGTTAAGTGAACTCAAAAAAGCTGTGAAGCAAGTTGCCTTACAATTTGAGTAAATTTTTTTTTTTTTACAGTGTAGATGCTATTAGTTGAGCTTGAGAGAATATTTGTTACACATTTAGATTAGATTAGATTCATCTTTATTGTCATTACACATGTACATGTACAAGTACAAAGCAACGAAATGCAGTTTAGATCTAACCAGCAGTGCAATAGCAGCAAGTGCAGGATATAAGTATACGTCATAAAGTGCAGATATATAGAAAAACATAAAAAAAACTATGATGATATTTACAGATGATGTACTATGAACATTATATAAGGATTGTATTAGCTACTGTATGAACAGAGATTGACTATAGATGAAAATAGGTACAGGTTGCTTTTAATAATCTGAGGTATGCAGATAGATATGGACATAATTACAAATGTATATGTACAGTGGGTATGTAGAATTAAAAATTAATTAGTGCAACGTAGTGCAATAAATATGTGCAGTTTTTAAATGTGCAAATATTAAATAGTGCAATGATTATGTGAAGTATATATATATATATATATATATATATATATATATATATATATATATATATATATATATATATATATATATGTATATATATATTAGGGATGTGCGGAGCAGCCGGTATTTGTATTTGTATTTGTTGAGGGGGAAAAGTATTTGTATTTGTATTTGTATTTGTATTTGTATTCGAGTAAAATTCAAAATGGCGCAAAAATATATATTTTTTCTATTACACTTCTAATTTACATTATAGTGAAAGTATTGTTTAATTATACCCATTATATAAATTATAGACATGCAATATTGGTTGTTGTTTTTGAACATGTGACAAGAAATGTCATTGAAAAGAAAATAACATAGAAGCCATTATCTCATCCATGGTTAAACCAACAACTAATAAAATACCATTGTGAATATTATGAACCCCACCACCACCGTTCTTGTTGAAGGACACTGAATAGACAGAATAAAAACAAATAATACTTCAAAAAACTGTTCTTCTTCAGAAAGAACTTCTTTCCAATGCACAGAATTACAAAAACTATAATTAACTAAATAAATCTAAATAAAACCCTGCCTGGGAGATCTGGCAGAACAAAAGTATTCTATATAATACTAAAAGATACAGCCCTGCTATTATCATCTGCCAGCCACAAAATGGACACAAAGTTTTTTTTTTTTTACTTTTTTATGTTTGAAACTGACTTGCTGGGGCAGAATGTGGCTGTGTTGATGGTTTGGTGCTTGTGGAGGATTTAGCAGAACATAGCTGTGCTGATTGAGGGGATTGATGCTTGTGGGGGGTTCACAGACAGTATCAGGAGAGGATGCTTTTAGTGCATGTGATAATACATTACATAGAAGGTTGCGCAGTGGCACAGTGAGTACCACTGTCGCCTCACAGCAAGAAGGTTGCTGGTTCGAGCCATGACTGGGTTCTCTCCATGTTGGCGTGGGTTTCCTCCGGGTGCTCCGGTTTCCCCCACAGTCCAAACACATGCAATACAGGTGAATTGGGTAAGCTAAATTGTCCCTATTGTGTGTGTGTGAAAGAGAGTGTATGGATGTTTCCCAGTGCTGGGTAGCAGCTGGAAGGGCAGCCACTGCGTAAAACATATGCTGGATAAATTGGTGGTTCATTCCACCGTGGCAACCCCAGATTGATAAAGGAACTTAGCCGAAAAGAAATGAATGATTATGCATAGGAGATGTTGACATATGTTTAATATCTCTGCCTCTGCCGATTTCACTTTTGCACACATTATAACGTTACAGTATCAGTTTGTTTTATCTGCAGCACCACTGACTGTACAATTCTTCCACAAAGAACATGTTTTTTTTTTGACTGGTGGAGGACCAAGAAATGGCTCAGAAGCAGTCTCACTCTTTTTCTATTCGGGTGCCCAAATGTATTTGAGGAGTTTCAAGTTAATAAAAAGTGACGGGAAGCTATGCTAAGGTTAACTAGCCTATAGCATATATCTTGCTGTCTGCAAAAGACAGTAATGTAGACGTACCATATAACTCCCATAAGTGCATACTATTCGACACAACTGCAAATGCATCGTTTTAACCTTTATAAACGAACGTTAATGTTACTCTGTCAACAGTCTATTGTCTAAATTACCGCGCTAACAGAGCTAACGTTGCGTAAACAGAGCACCCGGTTGCAGACGTCCGATCCCGATCAAACTCCGCTACAAGTTTATAAACTGCATCTGGAACCCAATTAAGGTACAAAAATCTATTTAACAAAAATAGTGATGCAGTGTAGTATTTTTTTCGCTCAGCCGAGCCTTCTCTGTCTGTATCTGTGGAGAAGATTGTGCCAGACACCTCCGCCCCGCCCTCCGACTGAGCGTCTCTCTCTCTCTCTCTCTCTCTCTCTCTCTCTCTCTCACTCACTCACTCACTCACTCACGCGGGCATGCACTGTGGTCTCATGAGGAAACGCTGCTTTTTGATATAGTGTTTTTCTTGCTCCCGAATACAAATAATTTTTCAAGTATTTGTTCGAAATAAGTATTCGTAAAAACACGCTATTCGTGCCTTTCCGAATACCGTATTCGGGTTCGGCTCCATCCTTAATATATATACATATATATATATATATATATATATATATATATATATATACATACATTTTTTGTTTTTTCTTTTTTTGAGGAGAATGTGTATAAGGGGGCAAAGAGTCAGTGGGGGGCAGAGTTCAAAAGGGAGCCAATTCTGGGGAAAAAGCTGTTCCTCAGTCCGCTGGTTTTTGTTCAGAATTTTTTTTATATAAAAAATATAATTAAATATAATTAAAGTTCACTTTCAGATGCAATTTCAGACAATTAATGTGAATTTGGTTAATGAAGATTTAATTTACACTATATGTGTTAATATAAATTAATATTTCAATCTATTTTAAAAACTATTTAAAAAAAAAACATTAAATATAGATTAGATGAAAGATATTTAAACACATTGTAAAATGTAAATAATTAAAAATAAATTCCTAATTTGCTACAATTCATTAGTAATATGTAATGATAATTTTAATCTGTAATTCTATTGCATTACTTTTTGCATTTATTTATTTATTATTTTAATTTGGTTAAATGCATGTTTTTTGTACTTATTTTTTGAAAGTAGGTTGGTTGCAATACAGGCTCATTCTGAAAACGTAGCCCTGTATACATTTCTGGAGATAGCGAAATATGTACCCAGAGCAACCTATGGCCGCATTTCTTATTTAAAATATATAATGCTGTTCCTTTTTGTGGGTGGCTTTTTTGCTGTTACCAGTTTGTTTAGTGGCTTGCCACGTACGTCAGCAGACTTAGGACACAAAACGGAGTTGATTACAATTGGGTTTGAATCCGTCTAAGTATGATTCTAGAAAAGGTAAGACAAAATCAAAAACCTAAAAATAAAATAAACAGTAACACTTTAGTTAAGGTAAGAATTCATGCTGTTTAGGGATGCTATTCGGTAACACTTTATTTCGATGGTCCATTTGAGTACTAGTAGATTGACTGCTTAACATCTGTTGATATTGCTCCTTCAAAAGACATTTAACTGACTATAAGAAACTTTGTAAGTACATGTCAACTTAAACTAATCCTAACCCTAAACCCAACCTAACAGTCTAATCTCAAGGTTTTTTTTCTTCACTCCCATCAGGTGAAGTTTTTTTTCCCTCTCCGCTGTCGCCACTGGCTCGCATGGTTCAGGATTGGTAGAGCTACGCATCAATGAATTTGCTCTTCAGTGTTTGAACTCTCAGTAATGATTAAATCACACTGAACTGAGCTAAACTGAACTGAACTGAACTTAAACACTAAAAAACTGAACTACACTGTTCCAGTTACTATGACCATTTATGTGAAGCTGCTTTGACACAATCTACATTGTAAAAGCGCTATACAAATGAAGCTGAATTGAATTGAATAATTATAATCTAATAAGAATTACTTGGCATGTAGATGCAATGTAACTTAATTCATCAAAATAAAGTGTGACCTGCTATTCTGCATCCCTTATCCTGCACAACACTTAAATCAAACTACTGTCTTACTAACTATTATTAAACAGATAATTAGTAGTTTGTTAAGCTAGTAGTGTTAGTTAATGGTTTGTTAATACTGTGAATTATGACCTAAAGTGTTACCAAATAAACAAGTAAATAACAGGGTTAGAATGTGGTAAAATCTGAAAACATGGTAAAAAACAGGTGGCTTTTCTTTGGTTGGTTGGGTGGGTCAATCTGTGCTTTTGAAGACACTATTGGTTGGGTTTAGGGAAGGAGGAGATTGGGGAGATTGGTCGATCAGTTAACATTGGCCTCTGGTGTATTTACGTGAGACGTGCAGGCACGAATGACACTAACGAGAAAAATGTGAGATCTCAAAAAGCGTACACAGCACCCTCTGGTGGATTCGCAAAAACAAAAACTACAAAAAAATTTACCTCCTGGGACATATTTGGCGCTCTCCAGAAATATATAGGGGTACATTTTCAGAATAAGCCTGTGTTGGTATTTTGCAAACAGATGTTTAATGAAGTTCTCTCTCCTAAGTTATATTTGTACATGTAGAAAAAAAATCTAAATAATTTAGTAATAATAAGTAATTTATTAAATAATAATTAATTTTGGACACAAGATGAATTTAAATTTCTTATTGTCATCATAAATGTATGTATTTAAAAGAAGAAAAAAGAATTAAAATGTACATTTTTGTATTAAACAAAGTGAAAATAGTAACTTTTTGGAAAAACTGTCTAGTTGTAGGCTTTGATTTGCTTTGTTTGGGTGTGTGCTATTGAATCAATGACCTTCGTGTTTCATATGCAAAATGGAGCACCTTTAACATTAAGTAAAAACCATTTTAGAAGACTGTATTTGAATATATGCATCAATACGTTGACATTTGAGGGCTGGGGAAGATCAGTGTCAATCATTTGCAAACAAATTGCTGAATGTGAAATAAGTTCTGACATAAAATCTTTCCAGAAGTTTTTCAGAAAACATATAGACATAATTGATATTCACACCAGCTGGTTAATTACATTCACTGAGCAGCACAAGTAATGAACGCAGCTAATTAATTTGACGCGTCAATTGATTTCTCCTCCACCAAATTACTTGCCACACTCAGTCAGCTCAGCTTAAAGTCTCAACTGTGCAAGTAAAAAAGTTTTTCAAACAACTTCCCTGCCAAAGTCAATCGCATAAACTAAAGTTAGTTGGTATGCAATGTTTTCAGAGGAAGAAATGTGACCAGTTGGAAAGCATTTCAGGAACAGCGAGCGTAGTATAGACTCTTTGTGTTATTTTTCTCTCTTTTGCAAAAAAAAAAAAAAAAAAAGAAATACATAAAGGAGTGTGACATAAAGGAAACTCTCTCTGAGGAGAATGCAAAATGTAGAGTAGATTCATCTGTCATGCTTGAATGTTTTTTTTTCTTTTTCTTTTTTTGTTAGCACTGACCCAATGTCAGGAGAACAGCTTGAATCTTTTATTACTGATAAAAAGTTTTTTTTTTTCAGTCGGAAGAAAAAACAAACTGAACTGTGCTATTTGTCATTTTATGCAAAGGGTTGGTGACAACAACATCGAGGAAACTGGACCGAGAAAAGCAAGCAGAGCATCTTCTTGAAGTAAGAGGCATTCAATACCAGTCAGACATTGCATTTAGACTAGTTTATATTGCTTTTTTTAAAAGACAAAAATAGATAATATTGGCCACATAGGTCAAGATACAAAAACATACTGTACTATTAAAGTAATCCTTACATTGTGCACCAGTGTTGAGGTAATGCATTAAAGTGGATGTAATAATATTACTTTTCTAAGTACTGAGAAAATAAGGCATTACATTAAAAAACTAGTTATTGAAGTTTGAGTTATGTTGAGCATGTTAAAAGTAGTTTATTTAGTTTGAAAAGGCTAAAAGCAACATAAAAAAAAAACATATTACATTATAGTATAAAACATAAAGCAGCATGTTGTTAGCATGATTCTATCATGATTCTTGCAAGAATTTGCATTGTTGTTAGCATGTTTCCAACATGAATTATTATGTTAACATGATTATAACATGAATTACATGTTGTTAGTATGTTTCTTATGTATTAGCATTTTTCTAAAATGAATTATGTTCTTAGCATGATTCCATCCATTTAAGTTACTTTTGATGTAATGTGAATTACTTGTTATTTAATTAATTAGGATTTTAAAAAATAATTAGCTGAACTAAAATCGATGTAGTCACATTTATTCAATACTCAATGAGAGAATGTGCTCATTATTTTGAACGCATCAAAGAAAAGGACAAGAGGACTCCCTTAGTGGACAGTGATTTTACATAGCTAAAAGGACAAAAAGTACAAAAGTAAAAAACATATTGCTTTAAACGTTCAACAATCTGTACAATATAGACGGCATGTATAGCCCTGGGGTCAGGATGTTTTCTGAAGATAACATCATCTTAAATGACATATTCTTTGTGTGTTTTTTAAAGGTAAATCAAAGTGTAGGTTATGCAGTGTATTGGTAATTGCAAAGCTCATCTATTTAAAAAAAAGAAAAAATAAATAATTCAAAAGTAATGTAACGCAACACTTACTATAAAAAATAACTTATTAACGCAACTAGTTATTTTTTGTGAAGTAACTCAATATTGTAATTCATTACTTTCAAAAGTAACTTTCCCCAACACTGCTTTGCACTATGTTTTTTTTATTATTCATGTTTTTTAAAGACATGTTAATTTAGTTTTACTGAAGAAAAACGAAATAATACACCAATGAAAATGACATGATGGTTTGCAAATAATTTTCATCTTTGGAGATCTGTTTAGTTCTAATAGACATACATTCAGAAAAACTGATTTACGTTCGAATAGATATGATATGGACATCAAAATAGGAGAAGAAACCTACAGTTTTCTCATTTTGAGGTCATTGCTTATTTAAAATGATTTGCAATAGCAAGAGAAGTTTATCATTCCAAATCTGTGATTTCTAGATTATTGCATCTTTAAAATTTCAAGATAATGAAGAGAATCTGAGTTGGCAATGGGTTTAACATTGCAATTGGAATTTCTTGCCAGTTTACCTCTGAACAGGGTAACACTGTGTCCTAACAACACTTAAAGCCTCCATTGACAAGCAATGTGGCTGACTGCACCAGATGCGGCACATCCAAAACATTAATTCATTTAAACAGTCATTCAGAAACACAAAAAAGTGCACTGCACTCCAGGTTAAATTTGAATAATTAATTAATAAATACCAAATATTATTAAAAGTAACCCGGCCCTGGGAGAATTTGGTTTGAATGCCACTGTAATAACCAAATCTTTCATCAGAAGTAAAAATCAAAAGATTAGACTTAACTTTGCTTAGAAGCATGAGGTGTGGACACAAAACTGGTCCATAGTTCACATGAAAGCAAGTATCATTTTTTTGGATCCAATAGAAACATTATATTTGTCATCAAGCTTGAGAAAGAGTGAACTTAAAGTATGTGCAGAAATCAGTGAAAGGTGAAAGAGGAAGGGTTATGGTTTGGGGGATGATTTTTGAACCAGGTGCTTGATTTGAAATGGTAGTTGTTATCTAAAATCTCTGGAAAATCATTGGTGACAGGGTCATGGTTAAAAAGCCACTACAGTCAGTGAACTGTGATAGACAGAGAAAAAAGAATATCAAGATCACAGCAGAGCAGTGTGAGAGACTAGTGATGTCTTTTGGCCACAGATCTGCTCAAGTCATTTAAAGCAAGGGCCTCTACAGTTCACACACAATTTTGATGGCTGTAACCTTTAGAAATTAGAGTTGTGAAAATATTAGGTAACACTTTAAGTCACAATTCACAGTATAAACAAACTATTAACTAAATCTCCTAGCTTAATAAACTACTTAATAGCTGTTTATTAATAGTTAGTGCGGTAGAAGCTGGGTTCAGAATTTGTGTGGGATTAGGGATGCAGAATAAGATCATACTTTATAACTACTAATGAACAGTTAATATCTTAATAATAGGCAAGTAATATACCAGTAGTTTATAGCATGAATTGTAATCCAAAGTGCTAGCAAATATTCAAATGTTCTCTAGTTTTGATAACTGTTGTTCACCAAATATAATGTTTTTGTTGAAGAAAACACTGTTTCAGTAGTCAAACTACTGTAAAAGTCCTTCAAAATTTGTAACATGAAAATTAAATTATTTAAAAAAAAAGGCAAGTGTTTATAAATTGTACTGTATAAAAAGTTTTCAATTTAATTTCATTCATTCTATGCCTTCCTCACATTTTCTTTGGCAGTATTTCCTCAAGCACTCAAACATAAGATCTGCTTTTTTCCCTCTTAAACAGATCACAGTTTCGGATGATGGCAGTCCATCCAAGTCGACCGTGGTTCATGTGATAGTCAACGTATTGGATGAAAATGACAACAGTCCCCAGTTCTTGGAAAAGATCTTTAAAATCAGGCTGGTGGAACGACTGGAGGCAGTGGAATGGGAGCCAATTTATCGAGTGATTGCCTATGACAGAGATGAGAGTCCCTTTTCTGATATCTCATACGCTATTGAGGAGGGTGAAGAGCAGGGGAAATTCTTCATTGAGCCCACAACTGGGTTTGTGTTCTCTAAAGAGGCTTTTTCAGCGGGGGAGTATAATATTATCACGGTACGTTTATTTCAATTTCCAGTCGCCAAATGGTGTCGGATTTAATAGTGGAGTTTTTGAGGATTCAGACTGAATGGGCACATGCACCTTAATATTTTTTATCCAAGTGGATTTTCTAGTATAAACGCTATATTTTGTTAACTTTGATGATCAAATTGAATGCTACTGTAAGCTGGTGCAAAGAGTTAGTTCACCACACAATTTAGTTCTCTTTAACCTACCCTCACATGGTTCCAAATCCAAAAGTAGGTTGTTGATATTTTTATCAAATCTGACAGAAAAGAAACAAGATCACTAGATAAAATCAACAGATTTCATTTAGAATTTATATTAAACATTCAGATTTGGTCAACACAGGCTCATTCTAAAAACGTAGTCCCGCGGACGTTTCTGGAGACCATGAATTACATAGCCGCAGGTATGTTTGGCTTTGAAAAAATGAAAAAAATTTCATTTTTAAGTGAATGCTGCGGTGCGGCATGACGCCATTATTTTTGGCGCTTACCGGCTGACCGCTTACCTTTGTGTGGAGGGCTTTTCTGCCACAACCAGTTTGTCCAGTTAGCTCGTCGTGTACATCGGCGGATTTGAGATGCAGAGAGGAGTTGACCGCGATGATGAAGACGACCGGGTTTGAGTTCGAGGAAGAGCAGTTCCAAAAATCAGGTAAGACAAAAACAGAATCCAAAAAATAAACCGAACGAATGAAAAACAGGGTGAGAATGTGGTAAAATCTGAAAACATGGTAAAAATCAGAAAAGGGGTTTTCTTTTTCTGGATGGCTTTTGTAAACAGTTAACTGGGTTTAGGGAAGTAAGCGGGCAGTCGGGTCAATCGGTAAAATTGGGTTTAGGGAAGGAGGAGGGTTGGTTGGTCGATTGTCCGGTCGCCTAGTCAATCATTCAGTCATTCAGTTGGTCGACAATGGCCTCTGGTGGGTTCACATGAGAACAGCGCGGGCGCAAACTGCACTCACGAGAGACATTTGAGATGCGAAAATGCGTACACAACAGCCTCTTGCAGATTCGCGAAAACAAAAACTGCAAAAATATGTACGTCCTGGGACATATTTCGTGGTCTCCAGAATTGTCCGCGGGACTACATTTTCAGAATTAGCCTGCATTGGATTTGGTCATGGAAGCTCAGTCATGCTTGCTTGATGTGTGGGAACCAATGAGGTTCATTCTCGTGTGTCAGATGAGCATTCTTGAGCTTCTGCAAGAACCAATGAGGTTTGCTTTTATGCATTAAGCAGAAATGGTTGTTGCCATTTAGTCTGATCAGTGTTTATAGGTGAATAACATATACAGATGTAATTACGTGCAGATATGTAATCAATCATAAGTACAATGTAAAACATGTAGTTACACAACAAGTACATTGTTAAAAATTATTCATTTCAGTGTAAGCACTTATAAGTCAAGGTAACCTAATATATATGACTCAAATTTTATTTAGGCATGAATTAAACCTTTAATATGTCCATCTTTTAAAAAAGACCCATATATAGATTATGTACTCCTAAAAATGTGTTCTTTACACATCTTGTCATGTCAGTAGGTCAAAAACAACAGAAAACACTCACTCTGCTCTCTTGCAGATTAAAGCATCAGACAATGGGAAGCCTTCAAAGTCGTCCATCTGTCGGTTGCACATTGAGTGGATTCCAAAGCCTAAGCTGGCTAAACAAGCGCTGGCATTTGAGGAGATTCCTCTCTCATTCTCTGTGATGGAGAACGATCCAGTAGCCCATATGGTGGGAGTCATCAGCGCTCAGCCACTTGACTCTCCTGTATGGTTTACTATCAAAGGTAAGAACCTAAAGTTCTACAACCAGCCTTAAAGAGTCAGTTTACCCTGTACTTGTTCCAAACCTGTATGATTTTCTTTTTTTGGATGAACAGAAAGGGGAAAAAGGAAAAGAATAACAAATTAATCAGACAATTCGATGGTAAAAATGTTAGTTTGTTCCTATACTAAGTCAATGGTTATTTGATTATTACACCAGAATGAGAGTATTGTTCTTAGTTATATCGACCTAGAAAATATCAACTTTTAATTTCCATTGGTCTTCGTATTCGATGTAACTACTGAAGAGTCAAGCTTTAAAAAGAAAAATTATCGAAACTCTTTTTTTAAAAACTTTTTTGAGAGATGCTAATAGTCTAAAATTATTAAATGATTTATGCTAAGCTAAACTAAAAGTGCTCTCACCAGACATAGAGATCAGCTGAATAGATTAAAAAATGACAAAACGTAGCTGTTTAACTCTAATGGACTTGTTAAATGATCCAATTTCCAAAAAAGTGGAATGTTCCTTTACTGTGGCTCTATGCAGACTGGCCATTGTCTATCAAAGTTCTACAAGAGCAATTTATAAGTGTAAGAATCTGTCTGCATTCTATACCTTAGTCTGTGCAGTCCAAACAGCTAAAACCTGAATATTTCTTTTTTCCCTCTGCCTAATTCTTATCTGCTTCCTCTGCTTTTCTTTTTCTCCTTCTCTACTGTTGCTTCATGAAGGAGACACACATGTTAAAGACGCTTTTCACATTCTACAGATGTCTTGTGACCTGAACTGTACGGCAGGTATCTGCTGATGAACAGAAACATGACTTCTTGATTTCGTATACAATGAAAAACACACATTTAATTTCTTATACACTGAAAAACACACACTTTGTACCAACTTTAAAAAAATTACTGTCATGTTTGCAGCAAAATATTTTAGTTTTTCTCAAAGTATAATTTAACTTTGGTTTTATTTAAAAATTTTATCTTTTTTTAACCTTAAGTCAAAGTATATTCTTGCTTTGACTTAATCTAAAAATGACTGTAATGTTAAAATGTCCATAGTGCAGGGTGCAAAAGCATTAAGGGCTAGTCAGAATCCACTTTTGCTATTTTAAGGACGGAAAAATAAGCTCTGCGCTGTGGCACATGGTCTAACAGGGTTAAGCTTATTTTTTTAATTAGTTATAGGTGTGTTTTGATAATAAACTAATCAGAGTCTCATCTCCCATTCCCTTAAAGAGTCAGTTGCGTTAGGCCATGGCGCATTTACTATTAACATGGCAGACTTTGCATGTGGAAAAACTGAGCGCTTCACAAGCAAGAAAACAGTTAAACAGAGCATCTGCAGTGCGAGAATGAGAGAATGAGCCTCCTCACTTTTTACTTTCACTTTAATTCTCTTTTGTGGATAAAAGTTTGTGTTGTATGCACAAACATGTATTAGCCAATATAAGTAATTTCGTTTCGTAAGCGCAAAGATTTGTTTCAAAACTATTTCTAAATTCAGTTCTAATGTCCAGCCAACAAATAGATGAACAATAATAAAGAAGTGTGGTCAAAAAACTGAGTAATATCCAAATACACATGCTATGCCCTTATGCTCCAAAAACTGACAGGTGGACCATTCTAAGCTTCTTTTTAATAAAACAAATATAAAAATGCATATAATAAATAATAATGCTAATAATAATAACATTATACAAAAGCAAATTATCATGAATAAACTGAAAAAGCCGCTCATGATGAAGGCAGTGGTTTTTATATTTATGTAGAAAATAATATCTTTTGTAATATTTTATTCCTTTAATTCTTTTTTTTATTTGTAAAGATATTTGCATACTGCTGTACATCCTGTGTGTATTAAGAAATGTGTGAGTGATGCGCACAACTAACATGCTCTGCGCTGGACTTTAGACCTGCTCTCAGCTGGTTTATTGAACAGTCTATTTTAGTTCTTTAAAATAGCAACGTGCCAGCAATGCGCCTTAACACACCTCTTATTTAGACCAAAACACCTATAAGTCCACAATGTGGTGCACATGGATTTGCTACTTAAACAACGTGGCAGAAAACAGGAAAATTATGGTCTGAAAATTGCAACACGTCATAGAAACACGTCTTGTGTCTTATTGTGCCGGGTGTATGATAGGGCCCAAAATGTTTTTTTCATAAATGATAAATAAAATTTAAGCACTTTGGTTCGACTTAATATTAATAAAATCAAAATTTGTACCAAGTTTGGACTAAACCATAATAAATACATAATGTTAGATGTTAGAAATAAATTAAAACTGAAAGCACATAAATAGTACCCTTTTCATGTGGTTACATGACATGAAACCTGCTTAAAAATAGTAGTTTAAGTTTACCTAGGAGGTTGTTATCATTATTTTTTTGCTTCAAGGCAAATTTAATAAAATGGGTTATAATCAGCCGCCTTGTTTTTTCAAATAATCCAACACAAAAATGTACTTTGAATGAAAGACACAGTACTGCAGTTAATTTTTTTCAGTGTTATTTCCTCTCACATCTACCAAAAAGACCTCTGAATTTATATTCTGTGGAGGAGATCTTGCATAATGATTACTTTCTTTGAATGTTTGCTACTTTAACAGCTAATGCAAATGATACATTATGCAAAAATCCCACTTGGTAGTGAACAGCATTAATATGCGACCGCTGTCTGTGTTGGTACTAACAGGTGGAAGCACTGACAGCCGTTTTGACGTGGAGAAGGCGAGTGGCACAATCATCATTGCTGGAGCACTAGATGCTGAACGACAGTCAAATTATAACCTCACTGTTGAAGCAACAGATGGAACAAGATCTATCAGCACTCAGGTGTTTTTCTTTAATAGCACTTACCAAGAAATTGCCCATGCATTTATAAAATTGTATCGGTTGAATAATGGATGTAGAGATGCACATCTTTGTCTTGCCTTGTATATGCGTGGTTCTGCATTGTGACAGGATAATTGTTTTGTTGCTTAGAATTACCAATACACCCCACCACTGCTCAAATTGAAAAGACAGTTTAAAATAAACAAGATTACAAGCTCACAATTAATATCAGATTCAAATTAATCCGAAAATGCAGTAAATGTCATTAAATAGATTTTAAATGCTCAATGTCTTAAACTTTGAATCTATCAGAAACACTTTACAATAAGGTTGTATTAGCTAATGTTAGTTAATGCATTAGTTAACATGAATTAATGTTAACTATCAAAAACACTTTACAATAAGGTTGTATTAGCTAATGTTAGTTAATGCATTAATTAACATGAATTAACAATGAAGACATCTGTTAAGCATTAATTAACCTAGCATACTGTCTATTAATGTGTTGGTTAATGCATTAAAAAACATTAACTAACGATGACAAATTACTTTGTTCAGCATTACATAATTACAAAAGTTGCACTAACTACAAAAAAAATATTGTATGGACTAGAAAAATTAAGTTGAACTAACTAGAGAAAGTAAGTTGTTTCATTTATTTATTTTATTTTTGGCTTAGTCTCTTTATTAATCAGCGGTTGCCACAGCAGAATTAACTGCCATCTTATCCAGCATATGTTTTACGCAGGGGATGCCCTTCCAGCTGCAACCCATCACTGGGAAACACCCATACACTTATTCACACACATACACTACGGACAATTTAGCTTATCCAGTTCAAGTATAGTGCATGTCTTTAAACATGTTGGGGGAAACCGGAGCACCCAGAGGAAACCTACGCAAACATGAGAAAAAACATGCAAACTACACACAGAAATGCCAACTGACCCAGCCGAGGCTGGAACAAGTGACCTTCTTGCTGTGAGAAGATAGCGCAACCCACTGCGCCTCCATGCCACCCAAATTAAGTTGTATGAACTAGAAAGCTTCAGTTGGGGTAACTTGACAAGTTGTATGAACTAGAAAAAAAAATAAGTTGGGGCAATTAGAAAAAAAACTTGCTCCGTTTACACTTAAAAAAATGACAAAAAGTCAAGACAACAAATATTTTTATGTTGCTCTAACTTATTTTAAGTTATTAAGTTAATCAGGTTTCAACAAAAAAGTTATACAAAGTTGTTGAATTGTTATACAATGTTTGACTGATGTAAATTGATACAACTAGAAAAGTTCATTTGATTCAATTAAAACATTTCAGGCAGCATAATTTTTTATAATGTAGAAAAAATAAATTGTCTACTAGAAAAATTAAACTGCACTTGTATAAACAAAGATATTATGTTAGACAACAAAATTATCGAACGAGAAGGCACTCAAAAATTGAAGAAATTATTATTTTCCTTTTCCTTTTCCTTTTTTTTTACGTACAGAACCTTTTGAGTGCCTTGGACTTGGTCTTTATCTTTATGAATCCCTTACCCAAAGAACTCCAACACATTAATTACCCCTGAAGCACTTTTGGTTTTATTTAGGATATTATGTTGCATGAAGAAGAACAATTAAGTTGCACTAACTACAGAAATTGAATTGAGGTAAAGTGAAAAAAATAAACAATGAGCTTTGTTAGTGATAATGTTGGTAAAAAGTCCACAAACATTGATAACATGTAAGTTGAAATCTGTGCAGTGCTGAACCTGAGTCATGAATTATTATTTGTTCATGTTAACTAATGCTTTAATAAACACGTTACTGTATTTGTAAGTTTACATGAACAAATCAGGGACGTGCGGTCAGGGGAGGCAGATGAGGCAGTGCCATACCTGTCATTATCCTCACCTGCCATCATAAGATGTATACTAATAATAAAATAAATATTTGTCCACTGATCTGTGCAATAAATGCAATTTCTGTATGATTAAAATTATTTCAATCATTTTTATGATCAAAATTGATGTATTTTGCGTAATACAACCTTATTGTAAAGTGTTACCCATATACATAAGTTTTTACTGTAAGTTGCAACAATCTTACTCACTTGTCCTGCTACAAGTGATTATTCATACTGAAAGATCAGATTTAGTCACAATAGAACATATTAAATTTCATGTCAAAAATCATGATAACTCATCTAGCCGGAATGCATACTGTCACCTGCATATTGCGATCCTGTTGCATGCAGTTGGCTGAAATATGCTGTCTTTCTAATGTACGCTTCCCTTTGTCCTTTTGTCATGGTGTGAACATACCTCTCCTTGGGCGATACCTGCATGTATCAGCCAAGCCAGCCAGCCTTATCAGGTCACAGTGCGAGACTCATCCATCAGTGTGAGCAGGCCCAGAGGCAAAGAATGATGTGAGAGGGAGTAATGTTTTAAAAGAGAGCTCCGTTTCAGCCCTCAGTCTGTCTCTCCTGTTGCAGAGAGCATGCCCTCTGGGAGATTGCAGTCCGCACTGTTTGTCATCCCATAATGGGCTTCATACTTGTGGGCTTTTTTCAGAGTCTGTGTGAATTACAGACTTTCAAAAATTTGCGTCTCAGGTCAAATAATGTGTACTGGGTGTCCTTATGTCCCTGTTGCTTGAGTAAACGTGCATCCTTTAGAAAACAGTGCGGAATCCTTTACGTTTCGCTTACATTTAGAGTTTTGGAAATATGCTATTTTGATTGAAAAGGGTACTTTCTTAAGAGCAATTTTGCTTTGTTCAACAGGTCATAGTTCAAGTTCTTGACACAAATGAACACCGTCCCAAGTTTAGCCAAAACCAATATGAGATAAGCATTCCAGAGGAAATTCAGCCTGGCATGAAGATACTGGAAATAAATGCAACAGATAAAGACGAGGACAACAAATTATCCTACACACTGTTGAGCAGCACAGACTTATTTAGTCTGAAGAAGTTTCGTCTTGATCCTGGAATAGGCTTTCTGTACACCACTGAAAAACTCGACCATGAAACCATGCACAGACACATCCTCACTGTAATGGTAAGTCCATGTATAATCTTTTTTTTATCATCTACATTAAGTATTCCAAATAAAAACCTGCTTAATATTTTACCAACTGTTTCCTTTACATCATATTATTCCAGGTTAGGGATCAAGGTGTGCCTGTGAAGAGTAATGTTGTGAGAGTAATCATCAATGTGGAGGACAGTAATGACAATCCACCGTGGTTCACTAGCTCTCAGTATGCTGCCCGTGTGTTTGAGACAGCTGCGATTGGTTCATCTGTGTTACAGGTCACTGCTTTGGACAAAGACAAGAGCTTTAATGCTGAAATCCTTTACAGCATAGATTCAGGTACAACTATGCTTTGCACTATCAAGCCATACTAATTAATATTGTTATATACACTCACTGGAAACTTTATTGGGTGCTTAACCTTTGTATTATAAGGCAGGACCACTTTTTGAAGTCAGAATAGGCTTGTTGTTTTGTGGCTTAGATTCAACATGATGCTCGACACATTTGTCCATATACTGTACTGTAGATGTACAAGGCATCCACTGTTGCTGCAGATTTGGCATTTGAACATCCATGATGTGAATCTCCACCACATCCCAAGTGTTTTCAATTGGTTTGGGATTTGGTGACTGTGGATAGCATTTTAGTATAGAGCAGGCAATCTATTATTGTTCAATCAAGTATTAAACACATCATGATTCTTACTGGTCAATGTATTTATAAAGGTGCTGTTGACATGAAATTGACCCAAATTTTGGTTAAAAACACAAACAATCTAAACACATAATTTTTTTTCCAGAAAATCTATGATATGTGTATTAACATTGGGATGACACAAGGAGAAAGTACTGAATTACTAAAATGCACTGCAAAAAATACTTTTTTTTTTTTTTTTAAATCTTGTTTTTAGTCCAAATATATAAATATTCTTAAATCAAGACGTATTTTTTAGACTAGAAAAACTTATTGTCTTGTTTTAAGAATTAATATTCCAAAATAATGTGAGTTTTTCCTTAAAGCAAGCAAAATAATCTGCCAATGGGGTAAGCAAAATAATCTTATTTAAAATTGAAAACAAGAATATTTTTCTTACTCCATTGGCAGATTATTTTCCTTGTTTTAAAGAAATACTCACTCAATTTTGACACATTATTTCACAAAACAAGACAATATTTTTTACGTATTTAGAAAATCTTGATTTGAGAAATTGTAGATATTTGGACTAGACAACAGAATATTCAACTCTGATCTTTAATTCTTATTTTCTATTGAATTTAAGTCAGGTGATGAGCTGGGCCATCCTAGCAGATGCATTTTCTTTTTCTGAATCTAGCTGAGATTCCTGTGCTGTGTTTGGGATGACTTTCTTGCTGGAATCTCCACACCGGTTTCATCTCCATCATTCTGGAAATGCAGGAATTGGGAATGAAGCAGCTAATATTAATTTTCATTGAGGAGGGTTAAGGTGCTTTCTAACTACTGAGAGATTGCTGTCTAGGCTTCCTTTCTTTGTGTGTTCAATATTTTTTTCATGTATCATTTCATTGTATTACATATAACCTAATTTCTGAACTTATTAGTTTTATTTTCTTTATATGTTAGGATAAAGTTTTTGGATTACTTTGGCATCTAGTGAAAAAGTAAACAGTTCTTTTAGAAATATATTCTCAGAGAAAAATGGTGATGTGTTCAATACTATTTTATCAACTGTATGTGGATAACTTTCATGTTCAAGAAACTTCTATCAAATAAACCAGTGTAGCTATTTTCCTTTGACCTCTAGCATCTTCAAGGAATACTCAATTCAGAAGTTCTCAGATCAGCCTAATGAACAACTTTGCCACATTCAAAGGCTACATTTACACTAACGTGTTCATTATGAAGAATGCAATTAAGAATTAAAATTATTCACTTTTCGTCTAGATTTTTACTGTGTTTCAGAAAAACAATCTCTGTCAACACTACAGTATACACCCTAAAATGCATGACTCATGGCCATTCACATATTTTGCAAGCATTCATACCAGATGCCTACAGGTGACACATGAGAGGTGCTTGAAAAAACAGGAAACAATATGCAACAGTGCTTTAAAATGCTTTGTTATTGTGGGCTGAAAATGTTGTAGTGGAAAATGTTGTAAAGTGGAAAAGTGTTAAAATAACCGCCCTAGTGTAACCTAAATCAACATATTTCCTCATTTTGATGCTCAGTTCAAAGTTTGAGAGATTGCCTTGACCAAATGCCTCTCTAAATGCCTTAATCCATTCAATTGCTTCCATGCAAGAAGGTGAACAGGAGGACACTTAATAAAGTGGCTGGTGATTGTATATATTACACAGACAACCGCAGTGTAAGATACATTCATACTACTGTATTTATGTGTTTTACAGCAGTTGCCAGAGAGATATGTGCAATGAAATTATTATATTGATCTCTGTTTCTTACCTTTCCCCTCTTTCTTATGGTTAGGAAATCATGGAACTTCCTTCATCATTGATCAGTCCTCCGGCATTATAACAGTTGCAAGAGAACTTGATTGTGAGACCAGAGACCAGTATGAATTGATAATAAAAGCTTCAGACAAAGGAGAACCTTCGCTCAGTGCAGTTACGGCTGTCAGGATCACAGTCACTATCTCAGATAATACCAAGCCGAAGTTCCCCTCCAATTCTCTATCAGCTGAAGTCAGTGAGAACGTTCCTGTTGGGAGTTTTGTAACTTTAGTCTCAGCCTTCAGTCAATCAACAGTTTTCTATCAAATCATAGAGGGAAATGAGAAAGGCGCGTTTGACATCAATCCAAACTCTGGTGCTGTCATCACAAGGAAGAAGCTGGACTTTGAAACACTTTCATCATATAAACTGATTGTCCAGGGAACAGACATGGCTGAAATGTCAAGCAGTGTCACAGTTAACATTTATTTAAAGGATGAAAATGACAATGCTCCTGTCTTCACCCAATCTGAATATACTGGCTTCATCAGCGAGTCGGCCATCATCAGAAGTGTGGTCCTGAACTCTCAGAAAGCTCCTCTTGTTGTTCGTGCAACAGATGCTGACCAGCACTCAAATGCCAGACTTGTCTATCAGATTATGGAGCCATTTGCTTGTAACTACTTCTCTATCGATTCTAGGACTGGAGCGATTCAAACTCTCAGCAACCTGGATTATGAGCAGAGACGGATATTTAACTTTAGAGTTCAAGTTCATGACACTGGGAACCCACGTTTATTTGCTCAAGACACTGCCAATGTGACTATACACATCATTAACATTAATGACTGCGCTCCCAAGTTCACTCAGGATTCATACGAGGCTACTCTTCTCCTTCCGACCTATAAAGGTGTTAAAGTGATAACAGTAAAGGCAACAGATGAGGACTCGCTGCCAGGAAACAAACTACATTTTGAAATTGTGGATGGCAACATAGGGAACAAATTCTGGCTTGATCCAACTTTTGGTGATATTTTTGTACAAAATACTACACAGCTGCGGAGCAGGTACAGATTGACAGTCCAAGTCTCTGATGGAAGTTTCATTGGGTGTGCAAATGTGAAAGTCAATGTTAAAGATAATAAAAGTCACAATCTGAAGTTCACGCAGGACATTTTCACCGCTCAGGTGCAAGAAAACGCTACAGAAAAGAAAACCCTGGCAGTTCTTTCTGTAGTTGGAAATAGAGTCAACGAGCCTTTGTTTTATTCTATTCTCAATCCTAACAGTAAATTTGAAATAGGACGCACATCAGGAGTGCTTTTCTCTACGGGCATCCCATTTGATCGAGAGGAACAGGATTTGTTTGAAATCATTGTGGAGGTAATAAAAGAGCCAGGGTTGAATGGTCCTGCCCACGTGCTTGTGAAAGTGCAAGTTGAGGACGTGAATGATAATGCCCCATTCTTTGTAGATCAACCCTATCATGCGGTTGTACAGGTTGACCAAACTGTGGGTTCAGTTTTTGCGAAGGTGACCACTGTGGACAGAGATATAGGCAAAAATGCTGAGATTACATACTACTTGAAAGGTCATGATAAATATTTTCAGGTGAACCCATTTGGAGAAATATCTCTAAAGAGGCCTCTTGAGTTGGAAAGCATTGGCAAGTATGTCATTAACATCACTGCGCAAGATGAAGGTGAACCACCACTATTCTCAAATGCAGAGGTTGTTATTTCAGTGGTGAACAAAGCCACACCAATATTTGAAAGACCTTTTTACAAGATTGAAATCCTCGAGAATGTGCTAGTAGGTACATCTATACTCCAAGTTGTAGCCAATCAATCTGCAGGACCTCGTACTGTCTACAGCATCAGTGGGGGAAACCCATTCAGTCAGTTTGACATTCATTTTAACTCTGGACTCATTAAAGTCATCCAGCCATTGGATTATGAGGCTCATCCAGCATATCGGTTAAGCATCCAGGCAACAGATTCTTTGACCGGGGCCAACTCTGATGTTTTTGTAGACATTATATTAGAAGATGTCAATGACAACGCACCTAAATTTGAAGCAGCAGTGTATAGTATTAGCATCTCTGAATCTACTGTAATTGGAACCTCTGTACTGCAAGTGGTAGCCATGGACCCTGATGCACAAAGCAATGCTATATTGTTTTATAAACTGCATGAAAGGGATGGATCGACTTCAGATCACTTCAGAATAGATGCCGAGACTGGAGTTATTTGGACTGCAGGACTACTAGACCATGAAACCCAATCTCAGCATGATCTGATTGTAAAAGCTGTTGACGGTGGGGCAATTCAGCTGTCTTCTGAAGTCCAAGTGACCGTATATATAACTGATCTTAATGACAACCCACCTATTTTTGCACAACAGCTTTATAATGCCACTATAAGTAAGATTTCTTCTCCAGGGCAGCTTGTGACCTGTGTTAAAGCATTTGATGCTGACAGTCATGGTAGCAGTAATCTCGAGTATGCCATTTTGTCAGGAAATGACAACAACATTTTTGCAATTGATGCGTTAAGTGGAGAAATTGTGATTGCCAACATTAGCAGACAATCTCTTAAGCACTTCTACAGCTTGATTCTGTCAGTGACTGATGGTGTTTTCTGTGCTAGCGCTGAAGCAAACATCTATGTGATGGGTGAAAATAGCCACAGCCCATCATTTACTCAGGACGAGTATCTTATTGAGCTTGCTGAGAACTCTCCAGTTGGTACGCTTGTCGGACAAGTTGAAGCCATTGATGAGGACCCAGGGAAATACGGACAACTGACATTCTTCATTATGAATGATATCGCCAGGGATAAATTTAACATCAATGAAGATGGACAGATTTACACAGAAGAGAGCTTTGACAGAGAAAACCCAGAAGAGAAAATAATTAGAATCAGTTTAATGGCTAAAGATGGCGGTGGTCTATTAGGCTTTTGTAATGTCATTGTAATTCTCTCTGATGTGAATGACAATTCACCTAAATTCAAGCATTCAGAATATAAAGTTACTGTGCCAAGAGATGCCCCTAGCAGCACAACAGTAATCAAAACAACAGCAGTAGATGAAGATGAGGGAAGTAATGCTGATATCGTATACACTATTGAATCTGATATAGACCACTTTGAAATTCATTCACTTAGTGGTGCGATTGTCACAAAAGAAAGCCTAATTGGACTGGAAAATGGCCTGTATTCCTTCTTTGTGAAGGCTAAAGATTCTGGAAGCCCACCAAAGCAATCTATTATTCCAGTTTCAATTAGAATAGTTCCCCCTGAAACATCAATCCCAAAGTTTGCCGAGCCGTCGCTGTGGTTGGAGCTTTCAGAAGACCTGGCTGTCGGAACTGAGATGGATATCTTCCAAGCCGAAAATGAGCTTTCTGTGATCTACAGCCTTGTTGGAGGGAACACCCCAGAGAGTAACAAACATGATGTCTTTGCTATTGACAGCACAACTGGTAAGCTTATACTCACAAAACGACTAGACTATGAAACTATAAAATGGTATCATCTCGCAGTGCAGGTTCGAGATGTCAAAGATGACATGGAAATGATCTCAACTGTAGATGTGAGTGTCCATCTCAAGGATGTCAATGATAACAGCCCACAATTTGAGTCCTTCCGCTACCAGTCGTGTATTGCTGAAAACCTGCCAAAAGGGACTTCTGTAGTGCAGGTTAAGGCAACGGATCTGGATTCTTGGCTGAATGGCCAGATCACGTATGCTCTGCATGAAAACCAGCAGCCCCCTGATGTTCTTCAGTTGTTTTCAGTGAACAGCGAGACGGGTTGGATAACCACCCTCATGGAAATAGACAGGGAAAAGACAGACCAATATCGAATCACAGTGGTGGCCACAGACGGAGCCCAAGGGTTACAGATGACAGGCACTACTGTTGTAGAAGTGACAGTTGTGGACACAAATGACAACCCTCCGTTATTTACTGAAGCAGTTTTTAAAGGCGCTGTAAGAGAAGATGAATCTACACCAGGCACAGTTGTAACCATTCTCAGCTATGTTGATTCTGACAGCGACGAGGTCAACAGGAGGTTCAACTGCTTCATCACAGGTATACCGTCCATGTTAACAAGTGAAAGAGAGTAATAGTTTAATCTGTCTTAATTTACTGTCCCTTGTAGTGTTTAAACCCAATTTTCTTAAGTTGTACTCACTGCTCTTTTTCACACGATGTAGTTAAATTTAACAAAATAATAATAATAAAAAGCTAATAACAAGCAGACCATTTAATTAGTATCACCAAAACAGTGTGTTTTTGTAATAGGGCTTTAGAAAATAACATCTGTCATAAACAAAACTTGGTGATACTTTTAATTGTTTTGTGCTTTACAGCATGAATTACACAAACTCATACTGACAACATGATGATATCTAACAACATGAATTACACACACACATGCCAAAACACCTACAAAGAAAAGCATAAAAAAAACTGTTTCAGGCCCCGTTTACACTAATATGTTTTAGTTTTAAAACAGCAGTTCAGAATAAAAACAATCCTTGTCAACACTGGCATTTTATCTACCATTTTTAAATGCCTTCTGTCCACACTTCACTGCTTAAAACCGAGATCACATGACCGCACACACACGCTCTGGCATGCGAAAGCAAGAAACAGGGTATGTTTTATACTTTTCAATGAAAATGAAAGGAGGCAGTTATGTTATAGCAAAGTCCCTTTAAGGCAAGTCATTTCACTTGGCGGTTATCTTTGAAACACCTCTTGGGCAGTATGCTCAGGCATTCTGTCTGAATGGGGAAACATTAAATTCTTTAAAACTGTTTGCCAAGCTTACGATTACATATCAGATTTGGGATCGCCAATAAACATAAACAACAACCGTCTCATAGGTTTCGTTTCTAAACATCTGAATCAAACAAAATCTGCATATTTTTAGGTTGCCTGCTAATGCGCATGTGCACTCGAAAGGAAAGAGATCACGACAACCTCACTTAGGGCCGTCTTACACATTATGATCCTCTGGATAATAATTGTCTGATCGCACTGCTCTTCTGAAGTAATTTACAACATCAGTCAATAGTGATCAATGAGTGGCTCCTGTAATAGTAGACGGGGCTTCATTTGCCATATTGACCTTCACACTTTTCCCTATTCAAAACTATAAGAGTGACATGTCTTGTGTATTCTGTACTTTGATTATAAGCTCCGTTTGGTTATAAATATGCATACAGTGAAGATGACGGTCATATAAATATGTAGCTACACAACAACTCAACATTTTTGCTGTCTGTAAAGTAAAATTAAAAGTTAGAATCAAATGAAAATAAACAGTTCCTTATATTATGTTTTCATTTTATTGTTAAGAGTGAAACAACATAGCCAGGGCGATGTGAATAGCTATGTTTCCATTCACCTATTTTTATTCATATTTTTCATATGTGCATGAAAAAACTGTTGATGGAAACGCCAAGATGTGCATTAATTTTGAATATGCACATAAAAAACATATGCGCATAACTGAATAGGATACATTTTTATTTTATTACCGCCAGATAATCAGGAAGTGACGATTTTGTCCATTTTAACTCGTTGGATGGAAACTGCTTCATTCACACATCTTTTATGTGTTAATTCAGTTTCACACATAAAGTTAATTCACATTTTTGGACGGAAACATAGCTAATGTTATTATAAAGTTTACTTTTCTTTGAAGTTTTACCTGTGGTTTCTTCGGGAATTTGTTTTCCATATCAAACTTGCGAAGTCTGAACTTTGAAGAAAAGGATGCTGAACTTTGTCCACCTAATATTAAGAAAAAACCCCAATCAGATATTCGTTTTACTCCATCTACACCGATACGGAGCATTTTAAGATGACAATGGTCTCTTCGGTGTTTTCAAAATGCTCCGTTTTTGGGGCTTGAAAACTCATGGCTAGTGTGGACGGAAGGCGTAATCGTAGCAAAACTTAAGCATTTTAAAACTAAAACACATTAGTGTAAATGGGGCTTCAGTATAGTATAAAAAAACAGAATCAGTTTTTCATTTTTAGGTGAACTATCCCTTTAAAGAAACTGGTTTCTGCATTTCAGCATGACAGTTAAGTGAGGTGTTTATTAACCTTTAAACAGTCTGCGAAGAAATTACAGCGCTAATGCCACAAGCTCAATTGCTGGATGCTATGAATAATATATGATATGTATATGAGTGTTTGGTATTATACCGACGCTGATTAGACATATTCAGAGCATCTTGTTATTGTCCTCAGTTTCATCACATCGACTGATTAGTATCTTGTATGCCGCTAGAAGTACAATGAATCCCCAAGCTATTGAAAAGATGCTAAATACATGATGATTTGACAGCTAATACACTTATTAAATATTTCGATTTGAGCAAAGTATATTTAGCTTGTTTTAATGTATTCAGGTGGAGACCCGCAGGGCCTGTTTGATGTGAAGCACACAGATGGTGTTTGGGTGGTCGCTGTCAGCAAAACCCTGGACAGGGAGGAGAGAGATTTCTATCTTTTAAACATCACAGCCACCGATGGAACCTTTGTGGCAAAGGCGGCCGTAGAGATCACTGTCCTGGATGCAAATGACAACAGTCCTGTTTGTGAGAAGGCATGATGTGTATATTCATTAGCCCCTGAGCTCTTTATTCTGGACCCTGCGTGGAACTTTTAATGAATACATTTCAGACACATTGCACATACTCACAATTTTCATTTTTAGATAATGACCCCCATTTCTGCAGCGCCAGTTTAAACTGAAATCTGCTTTTGCTTTCAGGATGTGTATGCTCAAGCTGTTCCAGAAGATGTACTCATCGGAAAACACATTCTTCAAGTCTCAGCCACTGATGCAGATATCCAGTCAAATGCAGAAATCACGTACCAGCTAAGCGGCAGTGGAGCTGAATCATTTACAATTGATAGCAAGACAGGTAAAATGAACAAAGCGGAAAATATATAGTCTGCGTTTTTATCCAGAGCAATCTAAAGTGTGTCTTATTCAAGGACATAATGGCGCTGACTCATTGATCACTCCTTCCCATTTTCAAGCCTTATTACTACTGACTTTAAAGTGTCAATAGTTAAAACTAATTAGAGATTTTTGCCATACATACTGTTCTAAAGCTAAATGTGACAGCAGCAATGAAAAAAGTAGATATGCCTTTATATGTACTTAACTAAAGTAAAATATCTATCCATCGCTGACAATTTTAACATAATCCAGAGAAATCACATGCTAGACTATTTGGACATACACCTGCTGATTGCCACTGTTAACTAGATGGTGATTATACTGTTCGTTTCAATAGTCATAAGCATCCTAAAGAGGTAGTCCAGTGTGTGTTTAAGTGTATATTTAAGGCTAGGTTGTGTTTATAAGATGCGAAGCAATGTGTGCTCATGCTTCATTTGTAAAAGATCAAGTTATTTTTTCATATATCTAACTTTGATTAAATACTGCTGCTCAGCTAGCATGAAAACGACTGTCATATTTCCGCCCTCAAGAGGCTATTATTGATCTGCTAGCATAATGTGCTGTAATTCGCGGATCGGCTAAACGACACCAGTAAAAGTGCCACACCTCTTATTCAATTCAATTCAATTCAGCTTTATTTGTATAGCGCTTTTACAATGTAGATTGTTTCAAAGCAGCTTCACATAAAGGGTCATAGTAACTGGAACAGTGTGGTTCAGGTTTTAGTGTTTAAGTTCAGTTCAGTTCAGTTTAGCTCAGTTCAGTGTGATTTAATCATTATATATATATATATATATATATATATATATATATATATATATATATATATATATATATATATATATATATCACGCACTGTGCCTCTGCTGTGTATATACTGTCAGTGTATCTGTTAGCTGTATCAGTTTGAGCCTGAATCAGACAGAAAATTAAAAGGATGCAGATGAACCTTATGCCTACTCTCTAAAATAAAACCTGACAAGTGTTTTTCACATATATTCGGGTTATAAGCAGGTGTAAGTAATATGAAACATTCACATGTCTTCTGTGAGTTCATTATTTCAAATGTAGAACGCAGGGAAAAGCTGCTGCATAGAGAGACACTGCAATGCTGGTGAAAATTGTGGGTGTTTACAGCAGTTTGACTGATAAATAAGAATTTGTAGCTAAATTGTTAACGGTGCCAAACAGCATTTCCCATTGTTTACATCCTTGTTTTTGTCCTTGCTACAACATACCGTTAACATTAGAAACTATGCATGTAATAGATAAATTTTAAACAAAATGCTTACAGGTTGTGGCTCACAATCCAAAGCTTTTTCTAATATGGTTGGAGCTGCTCCTTCTTAAAGGAGTTTTAGCCGAATCCAGCACTAAATTGGTAGAGATTCTGGATCTTTTATCAATTGCTAGCTATATATTTTGTATAATTCTCTGGAACATAATTAAAATTTAATTGTAAGCACTTCTCTCTTTGTGTCATGTCCTGAAGCCCACATTCAGAAACAGAACAAGATTTGTGGAAATAGCAGTGTTTGGTCAGCATACTAGCTTTCTCTGCTATCCGCTTGTTAAGTGTGACGAGATTGATGTCCAGAGATTGATGTGTTTGCTTTGATTTTATATAAAATTCCCTTTAATGTGTGATAGGACTTAAAAGTGGCCATAAACGAATATTTTCTCAATTCAAATGAGTAGCAGCCAAAAACAGCATTGTATACGTCACCGATACAGTACGTCATGACTTAACATGCCGATAACGTTACAGCGCCTCTGGCCACACCCATTCGCTGCACAGAGTGTATGCACGTGGTGAATGCGCGTGACCTAAAGCGTTTGTGATCTCACTAGCCCGGATGTATTTTTTGTAGTCTCCAAGCATTAGCTGTAGGCTTTGCTATCCTAACTCTCTAAAAGCCAATGTCACCTTTTGTATTGAACTTTAAGCATATTACCTTACAGTGATGTTATTCCTGTTCACACAGCTACATTACACATCAACTAAAATTTAAAATATTCTATTGTAGTGGCCCACCCCTTTCAATTCTTAAAATTTTTAAAATAAGCATTTGTATTATATAATATTTTCATAAAAAGAAAGTGTTAACACTTAAAACTAGGTGTTCTAATGCATCTCTATGGATGGGACAGTACATTTGACATTGATCTCTTTGCTGGCTGCTGATTTTAGTCCCATACAATTCCTTTTTTTTCTATTTTTGAAAGTCATGAAAACACTGTCATAAGAGTTTTGATTTTTTTTTGATTGATCAAATCGGAATGCAAACAATTATTTGTAGTACATTCCCATTCACTGCTCTCTAGGTTTACTCATCTATGATGACTTCCCATGCTGAGAAATCCAGATAGTGAAAATGGTCTATTGTAGTAATGATTTCACAGTTGTAATACCTCAGACACAAGATTTCAGTGAAAATACAACGATGGAAGAACGTCAACATCACCAAAGTGCTCTGCTAGTGTTCTTTTCTGCAGTGAAATACAAAAAAGGAGACATAACATTATAAAAAAAACATCTGATTGTATTTGTATCCTTTTTCAGAATTTTTGCAGGTTTCACAAAGTTAAATTTAAGACTTTTAAAGACATTTTTAAGACCATTATGAATACAATATTAGACTTATACAGGGCTAAATGCTAATATCCCTATGCTAATATATGCTTTTAATATCCCAGTTAAATAAGATTTTCACTTGATCTATCAAAAAATTATTAAAATTTAATACATTTATTCATACAACAATAATAATGTTGTTTACATTTTTTTAAATACATTTTCAAAAATATGCATTCAAAACCCTATAACCCTTACCAAGAATACAACAAAACATAGCTGTGAATTACTTCAGTCTACAATAATAATAATTTAATAATAAAAAAAATATAGGTCAGGTCAGTATCCTCAGCAGTAAATAAATGAAGAACCTTTAAGCAAATGTTACTGTATGGAAAGTAATTAATTAATTTAAAAAAAAATAAAAATATAAAAGTTTTATTGAGATGGATTGTTGGTGGTTGAATGGGTGTTAATGGCCAGGTTGGGCAGATATACATGAAAAGGAAAATTAAGAGCAGTTTTTTCTTTTTTTTTTTATATTTTAATACAGTACTTAATACAGTACTGTATTGTATTGTATTATATTATATTATAATAAGTTATTTCTTAGCCACAAGTTTTAAATAAATTGTCAAAACAAGTAAACCCTAGTTGTATGCAAACACGCAACACATACAAATCTTCAAAAATTATAAAACTAAATGTATGCACAACAGTATGTCCATGTTAGTGTGCTTACCATATATGGACTATAAATACACAGATAATTTTTAAACAAACATTATTGTAAAGATGACAATTAAACCATATTGGTAAATAGGGTTATGAATAGAGTTCTGTTAAAAGTTCTATTGAAATGGATTGTTAGCCTGATTGGATTGCTTTTTATGGACAAAGGAAAATTAAGACCTGTTTACAATTATTTAAGACCTACTAGACAACATTTCTGTGAATTAAAGACTTTTTAAGACCCCACTGACACCCTGATAGTGTATCCAATATGAAAGCATGCAGCATTTATTTGCTGTTCTTGCTTTCATTGACTATTTTGGCTATTATGTCAGAGAGAACATTTATGATTTGGGATCTTGCTCAATCAGGAGGCTCCACATATATATTTTTTTCACAAATATAAAGTGCTGATCCTTAATATTGTTTTATTTTTATTTTTCTAGGTGCAGTGAAAACACTGGCAACTCTGGACAGAGAGGTAACAGATGTGTACAACCTAACAGTGCGTGCAGTAGACAAAGACAATCACTTCTGCCAAGCTTCTTTGCTCATCACAGTTGAAGATGCAAATGACAACGCACCCAAATTCACATCTGACCCACATCATGTGAGCATTTATCAGAATACACAACCTGGAACATACGTGGCACGACTGGAGGCCTTCGACGCAGATATCGGTATGAACAACTTGTTATTTGGTAACTTTGTTTGTGCATATTGCCTCAAACCATCATGAAGAACGATTAGTTGCAGTAGATGCACAATCATCGCTTCCAATAGTGTGTATCTTGATTGAAGCATCAGTAGTTATTAGTCTGTGCCATCTTTTGCTCTGTGTGCCATTTCATTACTCTCATCTCCACTCAGCATGCAGCTTTCCCTGACTGCAGAACAATTGAATATAATCTTCTCATACACGATTGTCTTAGCTCCCTGTGAAGGTAACAATTACTTTCTCACAGTGGTCCACACTCTAATTCAGACAATCTGAACTTTTCTGCCTTCTGGGCAAACTTCAGATCAGGTTTTCTTTTCATGGCATTTTAAGCATTGTTGTTTTTTTGTAATGTTTTAATCATTTTTATTGAGTTTACAGAACACTATTAAGTAAAAACAGAAACCTTTTATGGCTATTCATTTATAAATTACCTGGCCTTTAGGGTCCTGGAAAAACATATTTTTGATTATGGTTTCTACACTGTACAAAATTATATGACAAAAGCTATGACAATTAAACCTTTTTAATGTTATTTTTACTTATTTTGATAAGTTAATCAGGTTTTAACTATATTTTTTAAATAAGTTCAAGTTTAACTTAACATTTTTAATCAGATTTTTAAATATATAATTTTTTTATATTTTTAAAACATTTTAGTTGGATTGGTTTAAGTTGAGATGACTAGAAAATGTCATTTAATTCAACTAAAGATTTAAGGGAGCAAGATTTTGTTACAGTATAAGTGCAAGTTTTTGACAATGATACAGTTATGATCTCTATGTAAACAATGATTTTATGAAAATGATGACGACACATGATGCATTTTATGCATTTAGACAACCGCATAAAGTAGTTTTACAACCAAAAAGTAGTTGGAAAACCAAATAAATAGTGCCAAAACAGACATATTATATTTATTTTCAAAGTGACATTGCCAGTTACTGGCCTGGCATGCATATTGTAGCATTTTTGGATTTTTGGAGGATTTGTGTGAATAGTATCTGTTTTGGTTTAATTCATTTTAATGGCAATGATGCCTGTACACAAAGCTAGCCAAAAACAGAGACGATAAAAAGGTTGTACTGTACATTGATATTATGTGCAGTACCTGACAAAAGTCTTGTCATCGATTCCAGTTGTAAGAGCAACAAATAATAGCTTGACTTCTAGTTGATCATTTGTAAAAGTAGCAGAAGGTAGATTTTTCAATGAATCATCAGTTGAACTGCATCCCAATCATCACAAATACTGCAGAAGACCTATTGGAACCCGCATGGACCCAAGATTCTCACAGAAATCAGTCAAGTTTTGTGAAGAAAAGATATTGGTTTGGGATTAATTCAGCATGGGGCATACAAGAGATCTGCAGAGTGGATAGCAACACCAACAGCTTGAGGTATCAAGACATTTGTGCTGCTCTTTACATTACACGTTCATTGCCATTCCAGATGACTTAATATTATTAATAAGTTATTGGAGTCATTGCAGAGATGTATGTATCTAGGTGTCCAAGCTCATGGCCTTTTCCCCTACACCATGACTTTATTTTCTAAACTGTACATTATTTCTGTTAAGTGATAAGACTTTTGTCTTAGCAAAGTCAGACCTTACTGTCCTAATTAAATAGTAAAAAATCATGACATGATCACAATTTATTTTGGTAAAACAAGTGTAATCTGGAGGCTTTTGCCTTTCATAATAGCCAATCTGATACCAAATGATCAACTTGAAATCAAGTTATTTTTTGTTCCTAAAACTTGGATAGGCGACAAGACGTTTTTTCAGGTATAGTGTAGATGTATCTCCAATTGCTTATTACCAATCTTCCGAACAGTTCCAAGTGGAATTAAAACTGCCTATTCCAGCATAGGATTGCCTACATTAGACTCACAAACTCAATTCATTGTTGCATTGTTACTCTTCAAACATCTTAGAAGTCACTTGTCTTGCAAAGTCTATCATGGCCACTAATTATTAAAATGAACAACTGCCCGACTGGGTGTCTTGTAATTAGCAGTTCTTCATAAATTAACATCAGGATGTGTTTGCGTTTATTTGCTGATTGGAGGGAAGATTGTGAAGTGATTCATTCTAATTCACTCAGCTGTCACTGTTGGATTTTTATAGGCGTTAATTAGTGACAGGCAATCAGGCTGGACGACCGGGCGACACCAACAACAAGGTCTGCTTTCATTGCACTAATGAGCATATGAACAAGTATGCATTTGTGTGTAAACCACAAATTAACCTAACAAGAAGCAATTAGTTTAAATTTCTGTCATTCTGCCTAGTTATGTCATGGAACTGACTCTGTTTTCCATACTTTGGGCTTCATGGCAAATCAGCATGTGTCCATTTGAGCCCACTCATGACTTAATGATATAATGATATTCTTCTGCCCACTTCTACTCAATATAGATCAGTTTTTACATCTGTTTACACTTCTTAGCATATCTTAATTTTAAGCTCCATTTTTGTCAGTAATAATCATGAAGTCAGTTACAAAAAATATTGCTGCTCTTTTAGAATAAATTCATTTAGAATAATTCAGCAATTTATATTTGATACTTAAAGTTTTTTTACATGTCATCTCCGCTCTCATCCTTTAGTCAGTCTTTGGTCAAGCTCATGGTTTGCTGGTTTACATTTAGAAATACAAGTGCATCCATGTGAGAGGGATGCAGGTTGCTCTTTGTCTTGTTACAGTGTTGGTGGCCAAAGAAAATTTCTTTCACTTCGTGTGCTGGTGGGAGGGATAGCAAGAAATGATATCGCTAGCTTGGATAGTAGAGGAAACTGATGTTCATTACATTACTCTGTGTTTCCTATAGGATTTTTTATACAGATCTACCAAACACCTATGTCATTATTTCAATCTCTTTGCTTGCGCGCAAAATTATTAAGATAAAGTCATAATATGCAGAGCAATAGACCTTTATCTATAAAATTTACTTATTGAAACTATTTTCATTTTAACTGAAAGCTACGTCGTGTTTGCTGGCCTCACACATCACGCACCTGTCAGTCAGTCAGTCTGCACGTAACCTGGGTTAAACAAATGACACACACACAGTAAAGTTTGCGCTGTTATAATTCACGTACCTTTTAATACGTTTTGGTGTGATTATAACCAGCTATTAAAAAACACGACTAAATATTTGAATGAGAAGCATTCAAAGAATGTAATGTTTTTTGGTGTGGCGCCCCGCCACGGAAGAATTAATGTAGCGGAAACCATGTAACTACCATTCGAGAGGATTCCCTATAGTGTTAATCTTGATAATGTAAATAATTTTGAATTTAATCCTCAGTTGTAGTTGGAAGCTTTAACCTTGGATCGTGATGTTTGTTGGATACGTTTGTCCTTTTGATGTCATTTATTGTAAATGCACACTCGAGTAGTCGATTCTGAGAGCACCGACTAGTGGTTGAAGTAGTCGATCGCTCGTCTAGTCGACTAGTCTATGCAAGCCCTAATATATATATATATATATATATATAGGTTAATTTCATTATTGTATTGTGATTTTATTTGAATGTGTTACCCTGATTATGTTTTGACCATATTATGCACATTTTTATTTTCACAGTTTATGCACCATCTGAGTTTTGGCCTGATTCACCATGTGGATTTTTCGTCCCATGTGCCAATGTTTACAACAAATTTAAGTAGATACATTTTACAGCGAGTGCTTTGAGAGGTCTCTCTTGGCGTATTTTATACAGCTCTCGCATATTAAACAATAATATGTTGTTCACTGCCAAAGAATTCAACCATTTCTAAAAATGTAGATTAAAATAAAAAAAAGGCAATGGGGAATTCTTTCAACACTGAAACAGCCACTTTAAAAACAACATACTCCTATGAATGTAAACTCTAGAAAATAATAATAAAAAAAGCAACTCTCAGACAGCCCGCTTTCACCAGCAACCACCTGTTCCCAGGCTGGACATCAGAGACAAAGCCCCATGTGCTACAAATCTAACACAGACCATCAGAAATCTAGTGCAGAGCTCCAGAACTGACCTTTCCTAATGCTATTTCTTGCTTCCTTATCTCTAGGGATGAACGGTAAAATACGTTACTCATTTGAGGACTCTGCAGGAGGTTTGTTTTCAATTGAGGAGAGCTCAGGAATCATCAGTTTAGAAAGATCCCTGGACAAACAGATGAAGGCCATGCATGTTTTGAGGGTACGTGCGACAGACCAGGGCTTTCCCCATAGACTCTCCTCTCTGGGCTCTGTGTTGGTGACAGTACTAGACGCTAATGACCATCCACCGGTGTTTGAGCGAAGGGAATACATTTCCACAGTTCCGGAAGATGTTACAATAGGGACTAAGCTACTGAAGGTCTTCGCTTCAAGCAAGGACAGGCAAATGACTTCCCAAACAACATACTCTTTCAGCAGCGGCAATGAGCAAGGAGCTTTTCGAATCGATTCACAGACAGGTGATGCACCCATACTCAGAGTTCTGACAGCATGACACCAAAAGCATAGGACTGTAGTGTTGAAGATTCAGTCAATGTTTGTGTTTGCAGGTGACATCTTTGTGATGGAGCCCCTGGACTATGAGGAATCTTCACAGCACTATCTGACAGTGAAGGCCACTGTCGGTGGGAAGCAGTCACTCAGTGACATGGCTACTGTTAGCATTCACCTCCAAGACATCAACGACAACAGCCCTGTGTTCAGCCAGAAGATATACTCCGCTGTAGTCAGTGAGGACACCAGACTTGCAAGCACAGTGTTGACGGTAAGTGTTTTTGCATATATTTGCATTTAGTTTTGCCGTATCTTCTAAGTGGCCTATAATGTAGGCAGTTATGTTTTAATCATGTCTCTTGTTCTCTCTACACTTCCATATTAAAAATGGTCTGTTTTTTTCCAGCATAGTGTTTGTACAATTATAAAAAAAACTTTCAGAATATTTTATTAATGGCATGCAACATGAGCAACATGGCGATGACACTGAACACACTTTCAATCATTAAGAACAGCTTACTGGAGCAAGTGCATAACAAAAATACTCAAAGCCACTCAGAAAACATTAGTGCCCAATTAAGGAATCTAGATACTTAAAAATAAAGAACACACTTGTATGATGTTTAAAACAGATTGCCAGATTGAACTTTCTGAAAAAAGGGTTTACTTCTGCTGGAAAAACATCTTTGAACTATGATTGGGAGTGATAACTCAAGTGGACGTGGCTTTGTGGGTCCACCCTTTTTAACCTTTCAGTTAATTTTGTCATTCAGCCTATATAGATCAGGCATAAACAATTATCTGCTTAAGTGCAATCTTAATCGATAGTAACAATGACACTGTTTTTAAATGCTGTACAACTGCTTGCTTTAATGCAATATACTGCATTAAAGGTGCTGTATGTAAGTTTTTGACTCTTCTAAAGCATAAAAATACCATAATATATTTGCAGATATTTAAAAAAACATGTTAAGTGAACATACTTGTTTATCTGAAAAACTAAAGTCAGATATTCTGCTTTGAAAATGTCTGTCTTGTGCTGAAACGTCTGTCATTCATTTTGGACATTTAATTTGCAACTTTAGCCAATTAAATTTTAGCACCCTGCGTTGCCTTTTGTGGAAAACATCAAATTTCATTCATTCAGTCAGAAAGGCTCTCAAAGTGTGCATATGCGACCGGAACGCAACCTTCAGTGTACAGTAGCAGCCTCTGAAATGAGACGCAGATTTAGAGTTGCACATTAAGGTGGTTATTAATTTGCAAATAATATAAATATTAAAATTGTAAACATTTGGTGAGCAGGTTACATCATAACCTTGTGTCCTTTGCACCAGATGAAACATGACAGAAATTTAAATACAGCAATTCAGAGGCACAAAATAGTGCAAAATGGTAAGGTTTATAATCTAATACATATTAGACCTCTTAAACATTATTAAATGTAGATGCTGAATCACTGACTGACGGTCAAGATATGAGGTAAACTATCTGCTGCTGCTTTTAGTAGTATGGCAATAAATGTCATGTAAAATGACATTCAAACTCACAATATTAGCATTTAACACTGAATAAAGCACATGAGGGGTACCTGAGGTGATCATTGTCATAGTTATCTGTTGTTTAGTTGCAAGAAACAGAATATTAGTTTCAAAAATATAAATTTCAGGTGTTGGTTAAATATTCTTTCTATCAGGTGCCGTTGCTTTTATTTAGAACACTGTTTAAATTAGCCATCAGGCTTGACGGTCAGGCACACTGCTATTGGTGTCGTCAATCTGGCAACCTGCGTTTGTTTTGAACCAAGTGTGCAATACCTAGTTCAACCACTGGGTGTCTAACTTACATACTGCACCTTTAAGTGCTATACATATAAACGTAATGTGACTTCACTTGAATATAATGGTGCCTTTATCACAATCATCAAGTACATACTTGCTACGACTTATGACAAAAACTACCCACAAAGTCTTCTGACCAGTTTGCATTACCATGCAACCACAAAGAACACCTTAGCAACCACACAGCACCACTTTGGTAACCACCACAGAGCACTAGCAAAATGCTAAGTAACCACATACTAACGTGCAAAAACAAATCTTAGTAAGCAGCACAAAGCATACACTTTAAATCTTCTGGAACACCCTGCAAATCCAGTCACTTTGACAACTACTAGAAGATTCTAGTTTGTATCCCAAACACATTAACAATTACCTAAAAGTGTCTATGCTAAAATATTATTTAGCTTTACCTTTACCTTAACCTTACCGTGGAAATGACCTGTAACCTTATGAATAGTCTAGCACCTCACTGGCAATCATTAAAGCACCACAGCACCTCTGTAAGAACTACCTAGCAACAACCCAGATCACCCCTATCATCCACGCAGCAACATGCTAAAAAAAACTCTGCTGTACACAACTCCTCCATACTGTACATCTGATACTGTGCCAGTGAGTTTTGGGTGAGGAGGCACCACATGAATCTACTTTAAATTAAATCAATGTACACATCTGTGGAAAGTACTTAATGTTGAGTAAACACATTTTCATGAAGTGTAATGATCCCTGTCCTTAGGTACTTGCGAATGATCTTGATGGGCCTTTAAACAACCAAATCCGCTATTCCATTGAAGAGAGCAACCAGAGCTGCCCATTCATCATGGACGCAGTCAGTGGTGAACTGCAACTGGCCCGTCAGTTAGACAGAGAGATGGTAATGCTTTTTGATTGATACTTTCCCCTTGGATAGAGTGGGTTTTAAAAATACCTATAATTCATTGAGCACCAATTTTTTACACATTAAAAATTTATTTGACCTTATGTTTTGTCTATTACATTTATCCATTGTCTCTGAAAATTTTGTTTGTCATAAAAATGTATTGTATAAGATTTTTTCCATTCTTTGCATCCATAGCCAGCATTTTACTGAAGCTAAAGCCAAAAACTAGAATGTCATCTGACAAATTAATCCACTTCATCTCGCAGCACAGATCACTTTGAATAACAAAGTGCAGAAAATAAAGATAAATTGTGGTAGATGGTTGAGCACCACTGCTATTGTATGCTGGTTTCAATGCCTAATCATATGCCACTCATATGTATTTGTGTGTGTTTACATTTGACATACAGCCAGTAAATACAATATTTACTTTTTAAATTTTTCTTTCTTTCTTTTTTTTTTTATAAAAAAGCATAACTGAGATCAAAAGCATCACTGCATGAAGGCTGTGCTAACACTTTATAGTAACTACACACTATAAATCATTTATTAAGCATAAGCATCTAGTGAATTCATTATTTGTTAAACATTAACTCTACATTAATAAAATATTAGTAAGCAGTTTATAACTACAGCTACAAATGCTGTATTCTTGACTTATAACCACATTTATAATGTGCTTATTAATTGTACTCATATTTATGACTGGTTGATTTTCGTAATTAAATTGAGTTTTGCATTATTTACAAACCATTTGTATTTAAAAGTGGTTGGAGGTTTTTAAGATAATTGAGAATGAGTTAGTAAATGATTAATAAACTATTGAAATCAACATTTATATATCTTATTATTCAGGCATATAGTAATGGTTACTATGTATGTTAATAAATGCTTTATTAAATCAACTTTATGCAGTTTTGTAACCTAATCTAAATTGAGGACTATTCAGTCAATCAATCAATCAATCAATCAATCAATCAATCAATCAATCAATCAATCAATCAATCAATCAATCAATCAATCAATAACCTTTATTTGTCACATTTATGCTTTAGAAATGCCATATAAATGACAATTAAAGCCTCAGTATCAAATGAACAATACATCTTTACACTCTTATCTAAAAAGTAAATTTATTGTTTAGTTTAAACATTGCTGAATAACAGGAGTATCAAAATACGACATAAAATTGGATAAATATACAAATTTAACAATATAATAAGATGCATTGTTTAAACTGCAGTTTTTTTATTTTAGATGAGGTTGCAGAGATTTATTTTTTTATTGATATAGTTTCACTTGTGTATTTTCAAAGGAACAGAAGTGAATAAAGTCATTTATTTTCTTTTTTTCTGTTTAGAATTTAACTGACCGTTTAATTGTCATTTATAAGGGATTTACAAAGGATAAATAGTCCTCACTTTGGATTAGGTCACAAAACTGGATGAAGTTGAGGTAATAAGGCATTTAATAACATACAAATTAACTATTAGTATATGCCTAAATAGGCGACGCAGTGGCGCAGTAGGTAGTGCTGTCACCTCACAGCAAGAAGGTCACTGGGTCACTGGTTCGAGCCTCAGCTCAGTTGGCATGTTCTCCCTGCGTTCGCGTGGGTTTCCTCCGGGTGCTCCGGTTTCCCCCACAGTTCAAAGACATGTGGTACAGGTGAACTGGGTAGGCTAAATTGTCCATAGTGTATGAGTGTGTGTGTGAATGTTTCCCAGAAATGGGTAAAAATGTGCTGGATAAGTTGGCGGTTCATTCCGCTGTGGCGACCCCGGATAAATAAAGGGACTAACTGACAAGAAAATGAATAAATGAATGAATATGCCTAAATAATAACATATATGAATTTTAATTTGAATAGTTTATGAATCATTTACTAACTCATTCTGAATGATCTTAAAAACAACCAACTATGCTTAAAAACTGTTATGCAATACTTAATTTAGTAATGAAAAATAAATCATTACCAAATTATGACAGTACCTTTATTAAGCACATCATAAATGTGGCTGTAAGTCATGAATTCAGCAATTGTAGCTGCAGTTATAAACAGCTTACTAATGTTTGTTAATATAGTTAATGTTTAACAGGTAATGAATTCACTATTTGCTAACGCTCCATAAATGGTTCATAGTGTATAGTTATTATAAAGTGTTACCAGATATTATCTATTAAAAAAAATTTGATTAGTGCGCATTGGATTCAGCGTGCAAGGTTTCTGTACATGATTGATTTTTAGGATAACGAATACAAAAAGTGCACATGAAAACTCAGTGTGCAAAGAACTTAAGTGTTGAGATTTCAGTCATCTTTGTCAACATACCTTGTCAATAGACTTGTCATTAATGTAAAATAAAATAACATTTTTGGTTTAGTTGCCAGACTGTGTATACATTCATCGGTTGGTACACCTTGCTAGTAGACCAATTTTGCCTTCGAAACGACAAGCTGATAGCAACATTAGTCTAAGATTTTAGTCCATATTGATTTTATTGTCATTAAACTTGTTCTTAGCCTCCAACTCAGGGGTGCACCAACTTTTTCTTATAAAAGGCCAAAAACAAAGTTGATTAAGGGTGGTGGGCCGAAGGTAAATATATACCAAACTATATTACATTACAGTTGCCATTGGTGATTTCCTAGTTTATTTAATATTTAAAAATAACTAGAAAACATTGCTTTATAGTAACTAATGTGGTACATATTTATAACGAAATGGAGTTACACTAGTCAAGCTATGCTTGTTTTTACCTTGATTTGCTTGCCAATGTCTTCTGCAATGTTCTTTATTCATTGAATGACAGTGTTTATTAAATAATTTAATTGAATCATTTATTTTCAGTTTGCTTTTTTTTGTTTTACATTTAGTTTTCAGGAATGAAACAAACAAACAAACAAACAAACAAACTAATAAAGTTGTTAAATTAGAAATGACGATTTGTGTAAAAGGCATTCGCCACAACTCCATCATTCTCATATGGGATGGTGGGCCAAATCAAAGGTTACCATGGGCCAACTTTGGCCCGCGGGCCCTAGTTTAAACATCTCTGCTCTAACTCGCTGGTCTCAGACCCATTTCCTGTAAGGGAATAGCCAGAGCTCTACACAGCTTTGCTCCAATGCTAGTTAAACACACTGGATCCAGGAAACCAAGGTCGATAAGATTACTAGAAGTTTCCAAGCAAGCATCATTTAGAGCTGTTTGAAACTAAACTGTGCAGAGAACAGAGCCAGCAATTGATTTTAAGGCTGTTGCTTTGACTTAAACTAGCAAGAGAAATCAAATCATTTTTTAGGCAATGGTCAACAATATACGTGATTTAATCACACATGCACATGATTTTGTTAAAATTTAGGGTGATGCAAAAGTTCCTGTCAAATGCAAGGATAAAAGAATTTGTTCCGTGTTTTTTTCTTGTTTAAATTAGGTAGCGAGTTACATGCTGACCGTGATGGCCTCCGACAGCGGAAGTCCCCTCAAATCCGACAGTGCAGCAATCAACATTGCTGTGTCTGATGTGAATGATAATCCCCCTGTCTTCTCTCAGGCTAACTACAGTCTCATCATCCAGGCAAGACCACAGTCTCCTACAGAGTAGAGCAGATAAAACCCTACACACGCATTCCTAACTCCATGCCTGAGTTCTCAGTAAGAGGTGATGGCGAAATCCCTTGAAATGATTCTAGATATTTTTTTTTCCTCTTCTGCAGGAGAATCTACCTTCAGGGACCAGCGTGTTACAGCTCAATGTGACAGACAACGACTCCCTCCATAATGGGCCTCCTTTCTCCTTTATCCTGATAGGCGTAGAGGCAAACCCTTTTAGCATAGACCAGCAGGGTTTGGTTAAGACCGCTGGACCATTGACAAAGGGCCAGTATACACTCCAAGTGCAGGTAAGAAATGAGATTTATTCAGTCCTTCAGGGGAATTTTACAGCCGTGTTTCTCAAAATGGACTTTATAGACCCCTGTGGCTCCTTCACAAACATCCAGCGGACAAGAAGCCCCACATGTGGTCAACAAAGACACTACTATTTTCAACTAGTTTTAGCATGTACAGTTGCGTCTCTTGTGACCACTTGTTTCAGATTTCATTCTGTAAAAAGTGATTTTTTGACTTTACAGTACTTAAAAAAGTGAGTTGCCATAAAATTATTATATGTTAAATGAAATAAGTGCGAAATTTTATTAAGTCAACTTAACAGTTCCAAGTTCAGATTTGCTCACTTTTAAAAATTGAAATCAACTTGACTGTGGGTCTCTCCGCACTATCACCAGTGTGCAGCATCCACTTGCACCACACACCAGCTATTGGTGGAGTGGAGAGACAGTGATAGAGCCAATTCAGTGGATGGGGATGATTGGGAGGCTATGATGGTTAAGGACACCAGGGTTACACCCCTACTCTTTGCCATGGGATTTTTAATGACCACAGAGTCAGCACCTCAGTTTATCGTCTCATCTGAAAGCCGGAGCCCACTGACGGTATAGCGTCCCTTTTACTGGGGCATTAGGACTCCCACAGAACACAGGTTGAGCGCCCCCTGCTGGCCTTACTAACACCACTTCCAACAGCAACCTAGTTTTCCCATGTGGTCTCCAATCCAGATACTGACCAAGCTCAGCCCTGCTAATCTTCAGTCAGTAATCGCTCTATGGCTGCGACAATAAAGTAGCTAATCATATTTTACAGACCCTTCTCTCTTGTTTTATCATAGTCTTCATCACTTCAACAGTACTACTGCATAAACACAGAGATGTTTATGGCTATTTTGAGAGGGAATGAAAAGAATGTGTATGGCAGCTATGATTTTTATTTTAATACCTTACTCTAACACCTTATTTTTGTTGTACTTTCTCACAACACGTGCCATAAAGATCTAGAGTTCGTCGGATGGCATCTATTTGATTGAATATTAGCAGTTCAACAGTCCAAAAACACCAGCTACTGTAATCTCTACAGTGTTTTGGGGCTGTTGGAATAAATTAGATCTCAAGGTCAAATCATTTTAGACCCTCCTTGGCTATTTAGCTCTGTCTGGTCGAATCTGATTGCTGAAACCACATATATACTGAGTAAGTATTACATATTAATTTAAAGTTTTTAACCATTAAGAACTTAGGGTACACATAGTATGCTTTCCTATTCATACTAAATAGAACATGTTTTCAAGTGATGTTTTAACATATTATAAAGTAGCAAAATATGCAATGTGATTTTACATTTTAAAAATTGATTGAAAGAACATTAAATCAGACCGAAGAAAAATCATATGCATCATCAGAAAATCTTAAAAATATTTATCATCTGGAATAAATGAGGTAGGGGAGAGTGAAAACAAAAGTACTATTTTTTTATTTTTTATAAAAAACTCATTTTATAAGATAATATTTTTAGAGGAAATATAATTTTGCTCACAAGAGTGGTCCATCAAATGCCGGTGTTATTTTTGATCAGCGTAGGACAGCTCAAATATAACTTCACTTTAAACTATACTAAAGTTGCATGTTGTTACTTTTGACCCCATAGGCAGGGATGAAAGTAACACATTTGGGTCAAAAGTAACACAACAATTTTTACTAGATTTATTGGCTTAATCTTGAAATGTTAACTTCAAACATATTTTGTCCTTTACTTTTGCAAAAAAAAAAAAAAAAAAAAAAAGCAATCCAAAAATGCAAAATGTGATTTTTTTTTCTACAATTTTTGAATATTTTATTATTGTTGGCAATATGCATTAATTTTATAAAAATTGTGAATCCAAAGTCTAATGTGGAAGTGAAAAATAAGGTCTGAATATTAGCATTCATTCATTTTATTTTCAGCTTAGTTCCATTATTAATCTGGAGTCGCCACAGCGGAATGAACCGCCAGCTTATCCAGTTTGTTATCCAACATTTTTTTATGTAGCGGATGCCCTTCCAACCACAACCCATTACTGGGAAACATCCACACACACTCATTCACATACATACACTATACCATGGACTGTGAGGGAAACTGGAGCACCCAGAGGAAACCCACGTGATCACAGGGAGAACATGCAAACTCAAGAAAGAAATGCCAACTGACCTAGCCGAGGCTCGAACCAGTGACCTTCTTGCTGTGAGGCGAATGTGCTATCCACTGCGCCACCCTGAAAATTAGCTGTGGAACAAAAATAACAGTGTTACTTTCGTCCCCCTAGTGAACTATTGCCATTTAAACCTGATTTAGTTTTAAACTGAAAAACTCTGATATCGCAAACTTAAGGATGTGTTATTGCACATTAACCTGTAGATTGATCATTGATGTGACACATGAAAAGAGAAACAACTTCTAATAAGGAAAAAAGAATAGCAACAATAATTTACTTTCTGCACTCAAAAACTGAATTTTGGAGCTAATCGCAGGACATGGTCGCAGCTCCAACAAGGGTTGCATGCTGAATGTGCTGTTATAGCCTGGAAATCAAATGTTGTCAGGGCTCCAAGAAAATTGATTTGTTTCTTTCACCCTGCTCTCCCCTACTTTGGAAACACTTTAAACTCATGATAAGATTTCTTGGCTCAGATGTGTTGGATGAATAATGCTTGATTATACTTGTACATCGAGAATGGCATTAAGGTGTACATGCCTAAAAACACATTTTGTATGAATCAAAAACATACATAATTCCAAGAAATGCCTGTTAGTGGAAGATTCCATTGTGTTGTGAGGTCCTAAAGATTCACGTGTTGAAAGCGCCATCTTGTGTTAAACAAGTGTCATAGCAAGCAAGCGCAAATACTTTAGCTGACTTTCTATCCACAATGGCTGATCTATAACGAGTCAAGTCACCTTTATTTTTGTAGTAATTTAAGCAAGGTAGATTGTGGTAATGTTGCTTTACAAAGATGAACAGCAATACTGTGCAGAAATGAGCAATTAAAAAACGTTTTTTTTTTGTGAGATGTTAAAAATATCAAACACTAATATTAATTTACTTTAACTTCATTAATTTATTTATATATTTTAAAGGGACAGTTCACCCCAAAATAAAAATCTGGACGTTGTTTACTCACCCTTAACTAGTTCCAAGCTGTTAAACCTTTAATCATTGACTGAACATCCATGGCAGGAATAGAGAATACTATAGAAATTAATGTTTAACAGTTTACATATTTCTTCAATATATATATATATATATATATATATATATATATATATATATATATTTGTGTTCAACAGAAGAAACAAAGTGACATATATTTTTAACAAGTGAAGAGTGAGTAAATCAACTATCCTTTTTGAGTGAACTATCCCTTTAAATTGATTTAATGTAATATTTTTTTCATTTATATTACGTCACATTTTATAATATATTTACACTATAATTAAAACATATAGAGAGAGACATAATACTTTCCCAATGCTTTATTCAGTTACAACAATAAAGCAAATTATTTTATGAATAAAAAATTCATATTATTAATGAAAGGTTTAAAATGTCACTGCTTTGATTTATCAATAATCAACTGTTTTCATCCTTGATAATAATAATAGTTAAATTAAAGACATTTTGAGCACCAAATCTACTTATTTCTTAAAGATCATCGATGTGATTTGATTTAGACAGAATACTTGAACTGGTCTGACACTTTCAATTTACTAGAACTTTTATATTAAGCTGTTTTAGCAAAATCTATATTATAAAAGCACTATAGAAATAAACATGAATTGAATTAATATCAGCTGAAAATTCAGACTAGACAGCACTTGGATAAATTGTATTTTAAAATGCGTGAATGCTTGAAGTCTTAAGTTTCATATGTCACATGAAAGCTGAATAAATATTATTTTTGTATGGTGTATGGTTTATAGGATAGGACAATGTTTAGCTGATTTACATTTGAAGTCTTTAACCAGAGGGTTAAATAAATATGTACAAAATCGTCTGTAATGTTGTCTGAATTAAGCTATCAACAATGCATATTACTAATCATAAATTTATTTTTTTTTGTAGAAATGTACATAATTTCTTCATGATCTTCTTGTAATATTTTAATGATTTTGCCATAAAAAAGAAATTGATCATTTTGACCCATACAACATATTTTTGGCTTTTTCCTAAATTAAATATACCCAGCGCAATATAAGACTGGTTTTGTGGTCCATGCATGGACACATTTATTAAAATAGGATCATTTTATTGTGAGATTATTATACAAAATAAATGTTTACATGTTTTGATATACAGTTGAAGTCAAAATTATTGCCCCCCTGAATTATTAGCCCCCCTGTTTATTTTTCCTCCCCCGTTTAACGGGGAGAAGATTTTTTTCAAAACATTTCTAAACATAATAGTTTTAATAATTCATCTCTAATAACTGATTTATTTTATCTTTGTCATGATGATAGTATATATTATTCTACTAGATATGTTTCAAGACATTTCTATACAGCTTAAAGTGACATTTAAAGGCTTAACTAGGTTAATTAGTCAGGTTAGGGTAATTAGGCAAGTTATTGTATTATTATAGTTTGTTCTGTAGACTATTGAAAAATATATAGCTTAAAGGGGCTAATAATTTTGACCTTAAAATGGTTCTTTAAAAACTGCTTTTGTTCTAGCCGAAATAAAACAAATAAGACTTTCTCCAGGAGAAAAAATATTATCAGACATACTGTGAAAATATCCTTGCTCAGTTAAACATCATTTGGGAAATAAAAGAATAAAAGAATAACCAAATCATTACTGTAAATGCTGTAAATTCCAAAAAGTTTTATTGTTATTGTATTTAAAAAAAAAAAAAAAAGTATTGTAAAATATTAAGTGCTTAAAATATTCAAATACTACAAAATAAAAAAAAGTTAAGGAAAAGTTCACCAAAAAAATATCTGTCATCAATTATTCACCCTTTACTTGTTTCAAACCTTAATGAGTTTCTTTTTTTTCTGTCGAACACAAGAAGATAGATAGAACAATAGAAGAAGATATTTTGAACAATGTTGACTTCCATAGTATGCGTTTTTTTACTATAGAAGTCAATAGTGGTTTTCAGCTTTCTTCAAAATATATTCTATAGTGATCGACAGAAGAAAAAAACGCATAAAGGTTTGGAACCACTCGAAGATGAGTAAATAGTGTTTTTTTTTTTTTTTTAAACTATCCTTGTAACTTAAACTATCCTTTAACAAAATAAGTTTTAAAGATGTAAAACTCTATGAAACAAAAACCCATTTATGAAACATGTAAACTAAACATCATCTCCATTTGATTCCAGGTGTCTGACAATGGAAAACCTCCACAAAAATCAGTCACATCTATCACTGTTCTTGTAGCTCAGGCCAGCATGTTTCCTCCATCTGTGTTTCCTCTCGAAATTTTCATCATCCTCCTGGAAGATGAATATTCTGGAGGCACACTGGGAAAAATCCATGCCACAGATCAAGATGAACACGACAAACTCGCATTCAGCCTGGACCCACAGTCCCACAGCTTGTTTTCTATCATTGGCACGGACGGCAGACTGTTGGCGCGTGAAGGCCTGGACGTGGGTCATTACCAGCTTAACGTCTCGGTCAGCGACGGACATTTTTCAGTTTCGTCCATTGTCAAAGTGAATGTCTTGCAGGTCACAGAGCAGATGCTGGACAGCTCTATCTCTATACGCTTCGCTGGCATCACCACGGAGGATTTTATCCAGGACCATTGGAAAAATTTCCAGAAAATGCTTCGCAGCGTGGCTGGAGCCCGCAGGGGTGCCATCAATTTGATCAGTCTGCAATCTGCTGGATTTGGCGATGGCCTGGATGTTCTTTTGTATTTTGAGAGACCCAGACGAGGTGCCGGTGCACTGGAGGCTCTCTCTCAGAAGATAAGCTCTTCCAGAGGAGCCATCAAGGAGATGACTGGACTGCATGTTGTGAGGGTTTTGAACAGTCGCTGTTTAAGCTCTGAGTGTCCTGATGGCAAGTGTAGACGGGTGCTTCTGTTTAACCAGACTACTATGGGTGCATACAGCACTGCACGAGTGAGCTACATCACACCCAGACATCACATGACGGCCAAATGCCTGTGCACAGGTATGTAGTGTTGGCTTTATAAAGTGTAACAAAAGAATAATAATAAAAAAATTAAAATTAATAATGGCAGCACAGTGGCTCAGTGATTAGCACTGTCACCTCACAGCAAGACAGTAGCTGGTTCGAGTACCGGCTGGGTCAGTTGGCATTTCTGTGTGGAGTTTGCATGTTTTCCCTGTCTTCACGTGGGTTTCCTCCGGATGCTCTTGTCTCCCCCACAGTCCAAAGACATGCACTATAGGTGAATTGAATAAACTAAATGTAAACTGTTTGTGAGTGTTAATGAGTGTGTACAGGTGATTTCCAGTACTGAAAAGCACTCATACACACTCATTCACACTCACAAACAGTACTGCATACAACATATGACCGAAAAGTTGGTGGTTCATTCCACTTTGGCGACCTCTGAAATTGAGACTTAGCCGAAGGAAAATGATTGAATAAAATTAACAATAACAGCAAAAACAACAACAGTATGTGCATTAGATTCTTTTTGAATCTTGAAAGATCTGAATTTCTCATTGGGGGAAATATCTGAATCTTAAAACTTGTATTTTATCAATCAGTTCAAACTCAGCACACCTGAAAAAATGGTAGGTGCGTAGTAAAGAATCTGAATTATGATGAAGGTCCAGAGACTAACTGATTTTATTAAATAAAATTATGGCATGTATTGATAGTGTGCAAAATTGTTTATATTCTTTTAAAAATGTGCTATTTTAATGGACAGAAGATTTTTTTTCAACACATTTTAAACATAACAGTTTTCTTTGTCTTTACCATGATGACAGTACATAATATTTCACTAGTTATTTTGCAAGATACTTATATTCAGTGCAATTTAAGTCTTAATAAATTGGCATAACTAGGCAAGTCATTGGACAACAGTGGATTGTTCTGTAGACAAAAAAGTAATCTAATAAAAAAAAGGCTATTAATATTAAACATAAAATTATTTTTTTAAAACTGCTTTTTTCCAGCCAAACTAAAAGAATGAGAATTTCTTCAGAAGAAAAAAAAAATATTACAGAAAATGAGCCTGATCTCACAAGGAAACTGTTGAGATTTTACGTTTTTGTCAGTTTAGTGGCTAACTTTAACTTTTAACTTAAGTTCAGTCATATGTAAATGTACGATTTCAAAAAAGACGTGTGGCATCCAATCCCACCCGTAAACCCAACTGTCATTAGGGGATAAGCAAATCATACTAAATTATACGAATGAGATCTTATGAGTTCAAACGAATTAGCCACTAAATCAAAATGTTACAAGCTGCCATGTGAAATGTCTCTTGAAAAATAAATAACATTTCACAGGAGAGCTGATATTTATTTGCTTTAACTGTATATAATTGTATAACAATAATATGTACAATAAATACAAAAATAATATTCAGTTTTTCATTTATTCATTTTCTTTTCGACTCAGTCCCTGCAGTGGATGCCCTTCCTGCTGCAACCCATCACTTGGGAACACCCATACACTCTCATTCACACTCATACACTACGTACAATTTAGCTTACCCAAATCACCTATAACCCACACGAACACGGGGAGAACTCCAAACAATATGCCAACTGACCCAGCCGAGGCTCAAACCAGCAACCTTCTTGCTGTAAAGCGACAGCGCTACCCACTGCACCACCATGCTGCCCCATTCAGTTTTTCAGTTTATAATCATTTTTATTTTTTTTATTTTTACAAATTTAAACTATGTTTTGTTATTAACAATGCTGTAATAATAATAATAATAATAGTAACAATAATAATACAAATAATAAAAATCTGTATATCTTCTATTCAAATGTTTCTTGTTGATTTTTACTATTATTTGTACTATTATCATTAAACATATTTTGCATAATTTGTTTTATTATGCAAATATTATGCAATTTTACTTTTAAAAATAAACTTTGATTTTTCTCCCAATCGTCTGCTTTTTTAGACAGTAAGTGTCTGAAGCAGGAATACACCTGTGTAAACAGCACATGTCCAGAGGGCTATGAGTGCGTGTCAGGCTTTGGACAAGACAAACACAGCTGCATCTGCACAGGTGCTGCCAAAGTCAAATGCTCAGGTAATTTTCTTATCAGTGTCATCTAGAGGACCAATCACAGCTGCAGATTAAACTGTTCCCTGCTCACTCAATTAATAATCATTTGCAGGCGCTAATGTTAAAAGTGCGTCTAGTGTAAACACACATTCATTAAGTGTAATAAAACAGGGTTCATTCATTCACAGCACATTTAATCATTAGGTGAAGCTGTGTTTACACGCACAATTTAGCACAATGTATTTTCATAATTAATTCAGAAAATGACAGCTTCTCTTAAGTAAGATCTATGAGGTATTTAACAGTAAATCAACTACAAAATAAAAGAAGAGAGATTCTTCAGCTGAGAAATGGGCTTCCTCTATTATATCCTTAATTATATCCTTACCTTTAAAAATGTTCTAATTATTGCTGACTCCCACAACCATGTGTTACACTTCTTTTCTTTAAGGTAATTATGCTTGGCTTTAACGAATTTATCATTACAAGCCATTACATTGATAACTCATTTCTGTCAAAATGCCATCAATCTTTTAAAACTATAATATATTAATATAGCAAATTTATTAGCTTTTCAGATCATTTTGGCATATTGTTAGGGGTGGAAAATATCTGATGTGTACAAAAAAATTGATACATTTAAAAAATGTTTATTTTATGAATATTTAAATTGATTGTCACTAAAGATGAGCAAAGGCTTTAAAACCTTATACCAGATGTAAATGCATACGTCAAATTGATTTTATCATAAAATCACAAAATGAGCAAAGTTTATGACAAAGTTTGATGTAAATGTCAAATAAAGTGTTTAAACATCAATAAAAAAGGCATGCAAGTTAATAACATCTTGAAACTCTGAAAGTAATATACTAAGAATCAGTATGGTGCTAGCATGTTTCTACCAAAAACTAGCATCTTGCTTTTATGTTCCTAATGTTAATTAACATATTGTTAGCTCAGATATGTTGCTAGTATAAATATATATCATGAATTAATATTGCTAGCATATTGCTAGCCTCAGTGGCGTAAAAAAAACTGCGTAGACCCCCTAATATAGTTTATTTTGCCTTAAAAGAATTGACTGCTATAACGGTGTTGTTATCGTTATGTTGTTTTTTAAATGTGAATACAATGAAATCATGCATGTTTGTATGGTTAGCATTTAAGTATGAAATAGCATGTGGCTAGCATGAATGTTATGATGACATGGATTATCATGCTGTTAGAACGTTACAGCATTAATAACAGAAATTAACATACAGCTAGCATGATTTAGCATACCACTAACATGTTTATAGCTTAAATTAGCATTTGTTGTTAACATGTTGATGACATTTACATCTCTTGAAAGTCTAAAAGGATGGTGATGTAACTGAAGAAGTTTAAATAATAAGGTGCCTTACATTGTGCTCCTGTAACTTGGCAGCTAGCACAACTATGCAAGAATAAAAAAAGAAAATAGATTCCACAAATTATAAATATTAATCCAGAAAGTTTACTAAACGTATTCTCTCAGTTCCAGCAATGTTTTGTCACTGTAGGGCAGTGTATGGTGAAAATATCAGTAACATTTCATTACAGGTATTCTGTGCATGACATTTTATAGAATTTTCTTAGGCTTAAAATGATTTAGTAAGACATTACATGTCCCAGACAGTTTTTAAAGGTGTGTAAAGCAGACAGTAGCAACCAGAATCCAAACTAAAATGTCACTTGTATTTATTTTAATTAGTGTGCTACTAACTTCATATTCTTTTACTCTCTTTTCAAAGGAGGATCTTCAATGACATTTAGTGAGAGCAGCTATATTAAATATAGCCTGATGGAAAGTATGAAAGGACTGAAGCTCACGCTCAAGTTAAAAACTCTCTCAACAGAAGGAACAATAATGCTTGCCAGAGGAACGGGCCACAGCATTCTAGAGGTATAAAAGAATATTAGAGCATGGCTTGTATTCATGGTGTTTAATTTGAAGATGCTGTAAGTTTTTGACTCTTCTAAAGCATTACAATGCCATAATATGTATGCAGATTTTTAAGAAACTAAGTGAACATTCACTGAACATGCTAAGTAAACATTCTTGTTTATCTGAAAAAAAAAAAATGCTGAAATCAGATATTCTACTATATATAATATGAATATGCGCTCACTTAAGAAATTATATGGTTTTTGATCAAATTATTACATAATAAACTTATTTAACATTATTAAATGTAGATGCTGAATCATTGATACGTGTTAGTGTTAAGTTTAAAGTTAAATTTTAAACTGTTTATTTTATGTTCAAGATCTGAAGTAAACTACCTGCTGCGTCCTTCAGTAGTATGGCAAAAAATGTCATGTAAAATGGCATTTACTCACATTATTAGCATTTAATACTGAATAAAACACATGAGGTGTACCTGAGGTGATCATTGTTTTCTGTTGTTTAGCTACAAGAAATAAAATCCATTTCTAAAATTTCAATTCGAGGAGTTGGCTAGAACAAAAACTCCTTTTTACATGGAAAATATTCCCTCTAACACGTGCCGTTGCTTCTTAATAGAACATGATTTAAATCAGCCTTTAGGCTCAATCAACAGACTCGCTCCTGGGGTCCGTTCTTCGTACGTGGATTACTCAGTTAGCTGGATTTAGATATTGACGATTTGACACGATCCAGGATCGTTTCGTTCTTCAAAGCTGATCCGAGAGTTGTTGTCATAGCAACAGTTCTGCTAGGCCAAACTTGATCGGGAGCAGGTTCAATTCATATAAACAGGATTTGATCGGCTCAGTTCAAGCAAAGATAATACAGAAAGTATGTTCTGAATTCAGATATTTTCTTACAGTAGTAGTTAAATACACTTGGGAAAATGGTACATATTTTTTAACTAAATATATATATATATAAAGTTATAGTCATTAATAAAATGAATTAACTTATACATATTAATAAAATGTATGCAATCTGCACCCTCGAAATGAAAGTACAAAGACTGCCACCTGGTGGTGCAAAGAGAAAACTTATTGATATGAACTTTTTAGATCGCTTTAGTACAAATTGTGTATAATAGAAATGCACAATATGTGACTTTTTTAAAAGCAATAATACATTTCAGCAGTCATAAACAGGTTTTGACAGTTAATATGCCGGTGATTTGATGCTTCACAAAAGTTGCAGACGCCTTTACCGATATGAAAACGCTTTTGTAAGCAACCAGTTATTTTTTACACCGATTAAAAAACCGCTTCTATAATAAAGAAAATATTTTCTAAATGTGGAACTAAATACATTGATATGCATTGAAATACATGATGAATACACTTGACACATGAAAGTGGAAAGCCTGCAGCTCACAACAAATGTGGAAGGTTATTGCGTGTCATATTTAACAAACCGTTTATTGCTAATTTGATGTAATTTAGCTCACATGGATAATTGAATATTAATCAGATGGTGTCATTACGCTGCTGTGCCGTCAGCCAATCGTTGCATTGCTGATCATGATTTCGAGGATCGATAGATATGTCCTTCACAACACACGCAGCGATCTCCGATCAGTTTATCCAGACATTCTAATCTAATTCGCGAACTTGTTTGAAGAACCAAATTAGCGAGAGATCAGTTATCAAGATTAAAAGATCCGGGATCTGCCAAATAATCTTAGATCATTTAAGCGAGGTACGAAGAACGGACCCCTGTTGGTCAATCTAGCTTGCGTTTGTTTTGATCCAGGAATGTAATACCTTGTTCAACCACTTTACCCAAAAATATACTTACTGTACCCTTCATTTTTTGTTTTTACATACGAGTTTCTTTCTTCTGTTAAACACAAAAGCACAGGCGTAGAATTGGCATGGACGGAGGGGACATGTCATACCTCCTCAAAGCCAGATTGCAGTAAAATCATGTAAATTGACTTTTGCACCATGGAATATGATTCATTAATTGTTATTTGTATTATTACATGTGTTTACTGTCATCATTTACTCACCCTTCGCTTCTTCCAAACTTGTTTGAGTTTGTTTCTTTTGTTGAACAAGCAAAAAATAAATATATTCCAAAGAAAGCTGAAGTTAATGGTTATAGATTTTCAGCTGTCCTTCAGATATCTTCAGTGTGTAACAGAAGAAAGAATCTCATAAAGGTTTGGAACCACTTGAGGGTGAGTAAATAGTGTGTTAATTTTCATTTTTGGGTGAACTATTCCTTTAAGCTTGGTTAAGCTGTTATTGTCATCTGCTATATGTACAGATTAATCTTAATACTGACTGTGTGCATTTCTCAGATAGCAGGAGGCAGACTGCAGTTCCAATTTGACTGTGGCTGGGGTTTTGCCACAGTCTCTGTGCACAGCGTCCTGGTGAATGATGGACAGTGGCACATGGCAGAACTTGAGGTGAAGGGAAACTATGCCAGGCTGGTTCTGGATCAGCTCCATTCAGCATCAGGCATCGCGCCCGGCCCTCTTCACTGCCTCAACCTGGGTGAGCAGGTGGTGCTAGGTGGACACGCTCAACACCTCGGTTCCAGACGCAGACGAAATCTGCCTGCATCAAACAGCCTGCAGGGCTGCATGGACTCGGTGCTGCTTAATGGACATAGACTGTCCTTGGACTCTGGTGGTCCATTAGGAGTTACTATTGAGGACATGGTGGGAGTTTCTCCGGGATGTTTCGGCTTCACATCTCCAGTCTGCTCCAGTAATCCTTGCCTCAATGGAGGGAGCTGCTTAATGAGGCAGAGTGGAGGTAGACTAAACTGCTCACATTGTAGATTAATGGAAATGTCATGCAGGAAATATCAACAGGGTCTGTATTAATATATAATTCACACACATTGATGCTTATATATGTATGTGTGTGTGTGTGTGTGTGTATAGATGATATATCTTCATATAATCATATAAATTATTTGTATAGGTTTTAGTATGGTTTCAAGTGAAGTCAAATAGGGTGTCACTTGAAATAAACAAGAAACTGGCAACAATAATAATAATAATAATATAAATAAACAATCAGTGAAAGATCATTTCCATCTTAGATTCATAAAAGTATTTTTTTATTTTATATCTTACAACTGTGTCTTATCTGTCATTACTTGTTGTGTTTGTCTTTCTGTGGGATTTTTAATTCATTTAAAAGTTAAAAGTTGAATTCATTTATAATGTTAATCTTTTTTCTTTTTGTGTGATAGTGTTAATTTATAATTTATGTAAAAATTAAAACAAAATATGTAAAAAAAAAATAACAATACAGTGATTTATATTTTCCATTACAGAAAAAGATTGGCATTTAAAATATATTAAAATAAAAAAGTTATTTAAAATAATGATCACACTATTTCACAATATTAAATAGGCTATCTATATTTTGCTATAATATAATATAATATAATATAATATAATATAATATAATATAATATAATATAATATAATATAATATAATATAATATAACATAATATAATATAATATAATATAATATTAGGGCTGCAAAACATTGGAAAAAAACAGACATCTTAATATTTTTTTGCAATGCATATTGCGATATTGAGTATGATTTTAGCAGATGAAATCAATAGCTGTATTTGAAAAGAATGAACAAAAATTTTGGACAATTTTGGATGATGATATGACGATTTTGTTGTGGAGCTCATCTGCATAAAATGTAATAAGTACAGTAAAGGAAAGTTACAAATAAAATCAAAGCTTTTTGGTTTTTCTGGGAGTCCAAAGTATTCAGGCACACAAACTGAATAATTTATTGTAAAATAAATGACACTATATAATCTTCATTGCAGATATACTGCACATAAATAAAATGAATGTTCATTGATGTTACTAAAAATGTAAGTTTTCTGTGACTGCATGCTTTAAACTGGCTTGAAATGTGTACATCGTCACCGGCTTAAACACATGCGAATGATACAATTTTTGCTAACTTTAGAGTTAAACTTTGCAATTACTCCCCAATCATGCATGTTATTCATTCATGCATGTTATTACAGTACATCTTTTTTAACTTCCATATTTATAATGTATAAACTGCCTCATGGTGTTTCTGTATCACTGATATTCTCTCAGGTAACATTTGCAAATGCAGTCCTTCATTCTCTGGGACTCGCTGTGAGGTGAAGATCAGTCCTTGTGACTCAAACCCGTGCCTGTATGGGGGAACCTGCATCCAAAATAACCTGGACTACTCATGTAAATGCCGGGGCAAGTACTCCGGTCAAAGGTACTGCACTGCCAATGTACTGTACAAGTACATTATTGATAATAAAATCTTTCATTACTCTATGTAAAACACTCTCTGTTTGACCGCAGGTGTCAGATAGGTCCCTACTGCAAAGAGAATCCATGCCAAAATGGTGGACAGTGTATAGACAGTCTTGATGGAGCCATTTGTGAGTGTGAGCCAGGATTCAAAGGAGAAAGGTGTGTTGTTATTGCTAGCACTGTGAACATAACAGTAGTCTTTTCAAATATCAGGAATTCCACAGGTCATAGAATTTCAGGAATATCATGGAATTTTTTATGTCCATACTATGTGATGTCCATGTAATGTCCAATGTCCATACCAGACATTGAAAGTCAGGGAATATACTGTATATATTGGCCAAGTAAGGATGTTTTCACACCCGCCTTATTTAGTTCGGTTGAATAGAGTTAATGTTTCCTCTTGGTGTGGTTAGTTTGGGCAGATGTGAATGTTGCAATTGCACTTGAGTGCGCACCAAAAGCAGACGAACAAAGTTTCAAACAAACTTTCAGACGAACCCTAGAGCAGTAAGCTTGTGGTAAGAACATGATGCGAACTAAAACAGACCCACCCGCAAAAAGTACTGTGCCTTTTTGGACTAATCCAGCTGTCATAGTCCGATGCGCTGTCCCATCTCATGGGGTGTGGAGAAAAAATATTGGTAGACAGCGCTTTACCAACAATTTAAATAGAGAGAGAGAGAGAGAGAGAGAGAGAGAGAGGGAGGGAAAAACATTACCTGATGGATTGTTGGTAATATGTCTGGAAGATGACCATGTCGCAGTTTAGCTAAATTCATGCCTCCTCCTGAAGTGATTTGCGATGCGCCTTCACCATTTGCAATGCATCAAAACGTTGTTTTCCAGCCACAGCTGTGCTTCATTCTCTAAATGTATAGTTCATCTAAAGCAATTTATACAAACTATTTAGTATACTATGACCAGGGATACAATCAGCAGCGCAGTCATCCCATCATAGTAAAAAGCATCATTTTGTTTCTGCCAGTTTGTTTACTTGCGGGAGCTCCATTGGCATCTTCCCACACGTAATTTCTGACCAATCGCAAATAAGTTTATGAAACACTTTTAATAACATCCAAATGAACCGAACCACAGATTTGAAAGCACCCTAATTGAACGTCTTTGTAATGTCTCCACAACCAGTGTTTAGTGTCATATTTAAAGTCTTAGATTGGTGTAAATAAAAAAATCTTTTTGTAGCATGAATTAGCAAGTTGCTAATATAACATGAATTAGCATGTTTGTAGCAGGTCTCTAACATAGCTCCTAAATTTCCAGCATAAAAAGCATATTGTAGCATGTTTCTACCGTAAACTAGCATATTGTTAACATGAATTAAGATATTTATGATTCTAAAATGGTTAACTTATTATTAGTATTGTGCGTCACGGTGGTGCAGTGGGTAGCAAAGACACCTCACAGCAGGAAGGTCACTAGTTCAAGCCTGGGCTGGGTCCGTTGGCATTTCTGTGTGGAGTTTGCATGCTCTTCACGTGTTTGTGTTCACGGGTTTCCTCCAGGTGCTCCAGTTTCCCCTACAATGCGCTACAAGTGAATGGAATAAGCTAAATAGCTAAGCTAAGTCCTGGTTGTCTAGGTTGGGGGTTGAGAGTTGGGCTAATGACCCACCTCGTAAAAATGAGATATTATGAAACACCAATATGGTGCGGCTAAATATCAACTTCGATTACCGGCTCTGGGAGTAAGCAATATTGATAGTAGCCTATTAATTACTTTGTTGCTAGCTTTTTTTAAACATTTATTAGCATGGTTAATGCATCGCTAACATGGTTTTAACATAGTTATTGTATTATTGGTAATTAGCATGTTGCGAAAATGTTCTAACATAGTTACCATCGTTTAAGCTTTATTTAATGTATTAGTCAATGTTTTTATGTCAACGTTCGAATCTAATCTATTAATGTTCAATTCAATCCAACTTCTAGTCCATCTTTCTTTCTGGCTTTAGCACTGTGTCCTAAACATATGTGACATGAAAACACACTATTAAAGATACATTATGCTTTTTTTGTCTGATCAGTGCTCATAGATCATGGAAATTCAGTCTCTTAGTTGAGGAAAAGTCAGAAAATTTGATGTTTTGTGCCTGGAATGGGGTCCCTAAAATGTGTATAACAGAGCATTTTCCGTTTTCAGATGCATGATCGATGTTGATGAGTGTGTGGACAGGCCGTGTTTCAATGATGGCCATTGTGTAAACACACGTGGATCGTTTACCTGTTCCTGCATGATTGGATTCAGTGGAAGACTGTGTGAGATAGGCACAGAAGTAAGCAACCAACCTATATCTTCATCCTGGAACTCTTGGATTGGAGAACTGGTCGCAATACTGGCCTTCCTGGCAGTCATCTTTGTTGTGACATTACTCTTCTTAATAGTGTGGAAAGGTTCCTGTAAACGTATAAAGAGAGATAAAGACCTTGATAAGGTCAAAGACATTGACTCTTACATTCAGAGGTTGAGTTTTTACAACCATGGCAAAAACAAATCCCGCTCTGACACCCCACCGCTGGTCCCCGTGCGACCCATATCCTACACACCCAGCATTCCTGGAGAATGTCGAAACAACCGAGGCTCAGTGCCCGAGTTCAGTAACTTCACTGCAGATCCACTTTTTGGTCTTAGGAAGTCTGTGGCTGTGTGCAGTGTGGCCCCTAATTTGCCACATCGCAAAGCATCCTATTCTCATTCAGAAAATGACTCCATACAGCAGATGGACTGGGATGAGGAGTATGACGGTTAGTGCATGTTCTGACATTTTGCTATCCTAAATTGGCATGTTGGTAACACATTTCATAGCTCATTAGCAAGTTGTTAATATGGCATGAATTAGCATGTTGATAGCAGGTTTCTAACATACAGTAGCTCCCAAATTTCCAGCATTAATAAGTATAGCATGTTTCTAGAATGAACTAGCATATTCGCAACATGAATTAGGATATTGTTTGCATGATTCTAATATGATTAACATTTTGTAAGTATTATTACCCTTTTCGTAGCTTATTTTTAAGCATGCATTAGCATGGTTACCACATTGCAAACATGGTTCTAGCATGGTTATTGTATTGTTTTTGCAAATTAGCATATTGTTAGCATGTTTCTTGTAAGCATGGATTGGCATATTACTAACTTTCATAACATGAATAAGCATGTTGAAAACATGTTTACAAAATTAATTAACAAGTTAGCATTATGAATCCAATGTATGCTAGTATTACCATGGTTACCACATTGCTAATGGTTCTAACATAGTTATGAGATTGTAAGCATGTTAAAAGCATTTGCAACATTAATTAGCATTTTGCAATCATGGATCCACTTGATGAACATGAATAAGCAGCGCACTGTTATTGTTTTGACAATTTCTAACATAGCTCACAATTGTTTGCACGAAGTAGCATTTTCAAACATGAAAAGGCATATTGTTAACATGGATCAGCATGTTAAAATTGTTACATTGTAACTTTGAAATGCTGTTTTTTTATATTCATTCTTCCAGAAAAAATACTAGACTTGACTTCCTGTTTAGCAATGGAGGATGACTATATTTCACTTTCTCGTGATAATAGAGGGCTGCAGTCCACATGCTCACTCCAGTCAGATGTCATGGATGACAACAGTAAGTTGCATTAAATAAAACACAAAAATCAGTTACTGCAACAATTACATCTTTGCTGTGTCTTGAATGAATTTAGCCCCAATATGGATTAAACTTGAGCACAAATTCTGAACAGATTCAAAAAGACAGGATTGTAAATGCTGAAATAATAAACAGTAATGTACTGTATAACTTAGAACCCATGCTTTGGTATTTTTATAGCATGTAGGTTTGACTTAACAATATCTTTAATGTTTACATGCACATCATTTTCTGATAAAGATCTATATATTCATTAATCTTTAATAACTAACCAATCAAATAATGTTTCACTCTAATATTATATTTTTTTGTTGTGACTATACTCAAATAAAGCACTATGTATTATTTAATTTTATTTCATTTAGAAAAAATATATATTTTATTACAGTGAATTTTCTTTTCCTTTTTTTTAATACAATATTACCGTTCTTTTAGATTTCTAGCAACTGTACACTGTAAAAAAGTGATTTTTAAACTCAAACTCGTAGCCTTAAATGAATAAACAAACTATGTGTATAATTATGAAAGTTAAGTGAATGGGTTTACTGATTTTATATTAAATTAAAAACAACGTGTTGCTATTAAGGCAAACGGTTTACTAACTTTTTTAAAGTAACTAATCACTTTTTACAGTGTAATATTGGTTTATGTAACTTTTACCTTACATAACTGGAATACATAATTAGATTATGACCACAAAAAAAAACATTAAAATATGCATATTAAATACCATTGCTAATCAATGACATTTTAATTGAATTTAATAGTATTCCTCCATTTTGTTTATCCTTATGGTGCTTATTATACTTTGATGAAATAGTCTTGTAGTAACTAAAGAGATTTAGGCTACATAATTTTTTCTGTTTAATGCACAAGGGGTCAGATTTACTAACAACTTGTGCCAACGCAAAACCTCTGTTTGTCATTAAAAAATATTGTCATGATTTACTAAAGACATCCAGTTAATGCTACAGCTAAAAAAATCAAGGACTTTATTTATTCCATATGCATTTACATCAGTTTCCCTTTCAGACACTACATTTACGAAACACAGTTACTAGATAACTCTGACAAATCAACAGCTCTTCTTATTTGTGATCATTCACAGAACATTTTGCTCTAATTGGCATTTTGGAAACACTGTGCTCCTGTCCTAAGTCACCCTGTTATGTAAATCTGACCCATGGTCTTTTCTAGAGATGTCTGCACAGTAAGTGCAAAGACTGATTTAATGACTGTTGTGTATATTTCTGTTGCTTTTTACAAGCTTTCAGAGTGATCCACCCTGTCAAAACATAGATTGACATGGTGAGCAAAAGGTATACAGTATATTTCATCTCACTTCATGTTAGTAGTTTCTAATTAGTCATCAGTCTGTGTGTTTCTCTATTACATCTCACTTCAGCTCATTTTCTTACTGTTCCAACTTCACATGGCGATTCATTGTGCCATTTGAACCAGTATTGAAAACATGTCTTTCTTGTTCCGTGACTGGTCAAAACAATTTCTTTGCTTTGGTACCTTGGAAACACAATAGTTGATGTGTTTTGTTGTTTATCAGACCATTCATTCATGCTCTATTGCTTTAGCAAGCTTGGTAACACCGAGCAGCTGTGTGAATTTGATAAGTCCTCGTGAATTGGCTGTAACAATTTTGGATCAAATGCACTTGCATCGATCTCAAGGGCACTTTGATGTTTAATCTTCTTTAACTCGGAGGAGTTATAACAAGTTCTTTCAAACCAGTGCACTCAGATCTTTCACACTGTCTGAGATTAATGAGCCTCTGAGCTATCAAAGCATGCCATCATCTGAAGATACATGTGAGCTTTCCTAAAATGTGTGTGTTGTGGAACTGCTTCTTGTTTTTTTTTTGTGAATGCGCACGATGTGATGATATACATTACCTTTAAGTTCAAGCATCTTCACAAGTATTTTTTTGTTTTCATTTAATTTAATGCATAAAATTATGCATTTAATAGATCAAAAGCAACCAGTAATCATAATGAGGTTATTAATGCTTTTCCTTTTAACTTTCTATTCATCAAAGAATTCTAAATATAAAAAAACAGTTTTACAAAAAATATTATGCAGATTGCTTCTACTTCATTCTAACACATTCTACATTAGCAAAAAAGTAAGAATGACACTACTGGAGTGATGGCTTAGAAAAATTCAAATGTGCATTACACTAATAAGTTGTATTTTTTATATATATATATATATATATGGGGCAAGGCAGTGGCGCAGTAGGTAGTCCTGTCGCCTTACAGCAAGAAGGTTTCTGGGTCGCTGGTTCGAACCTCCGCTCAGTTGCCGTTTCTGTGTGGAGTTTGCATGTTTCCTCCGGGTGCTCTGGTTTCCCCACAGTTCAAAGACATATGGTAGAGGTGAATTGGGTAGGCTAAATTGTCTGTGGTGTGTGTGTGTGTGTGTGTGTGTGTGTGTGTGTGTGTGTGTGTGTGTGTGTGTGTGTGTGTGTGTGTGTGTATGTGTGTATGTTTCCCAGAGATGGGTTGTGGCTGGAAGGGCATCCGCTTTTTTAATTAATTAATATTTCAATTTTTTATTATTATTATTATTGTATTATTTTTTATCCACCGACACTCTGTTGTGAATGTATGGTATGCAGATAAGGGTATAGTTCCAAATGCAGCTTTATTTAGAATGGTCAGGCAGGCAGGGATCGAAAATTAGAATAAAGTTTAGTAGACAATCCAAATGTGTAATCCAAAAACAGAAGAAAGGTTCAGGGCAGGCAGCAAAGAATCAGAAACACAATAAAAAGTCTAAAGTTGAAAACACGGGAAACAAAAAAAAAAAAAAACAAGTAAAACCGCTTACACAATGACAGCAACAGCTAAACAATACTAGCAATGTGAAAGAGAAACCTAGAGGTGCATATAGTCCGTATAATCAGAGATGATGAGTTTAAATGGCTGTCAGCTGAGGCAGGAGTGATTAGCGCAAAGAGTTCTGGGAGATGTATGTCATTAGGAGGTAACCTCCAATAGAGAAAACACCACTGGTGGTTCCAATGGATTACAGGTAGTAATCGCCAGTGGAGACAAAACTCCGCTGGCGGTTAAACACTCGTTTTTCTCATGATAAATACAATTCAATTGAATCTCTAATAAATGTAACTGCGCTCCAACAAAAAAATTTCTAGCTTGTTCAAACCAATTATTTAAAATGAACTGAGTTAACACAATTATTGAAATTTTGTTAATAGGACAACTTAATTGTTTTATGTTCAATCCACTGAAATTTAAGTTAATTTTATCGATTTGTGTTGGGACAACATGAATGAATTGTGTGAAAACCTCGTTTTTCACAGTGTGTATAATGTCTTACTCCAACAGGCTATTACTGGGATACCTCAGATTGGCAGCAGAATATCTACTCTCCTGGAATTCAAGGTTTTCTGCAGTATGAGTTTGTGCAGATGACTTCACCGATACACACCTCTCCAGAAACTGTCCACATGGACTTCACCACTGTTGGCGAAGACATAGAGACTTTCCTGCCATTAACAACTCTCCTACCTAATTCTGACCAGTTAACCAGGCCAGAGGGCCACCATGCAATCCACCCAACAGTGAGGTCAAACTTTATGACCTCCAGTCAACATCCCAGCCCTGACTCCCCAGAGTCCGTCCAAACAACCGCAGAGATGCTTCAAGACCAACATATAAGGTCCTCTGAGACTGTGGATTTCTTGGAAAGTCCTGTTTGAGACCCACACAACTCTAAACTTCATTCCCCAGTGGTTAGAAATCCAATTTTATGGTTAGTGACCATGGAAAACTTCATGAAGACCTGGTTGGCAACACTACCAGAGGCTGAGGTGTGACTGCAGTGGGTTTCTGTACTATAATTCGAAACCACCATTAAACTTTCATGCAGAATCGTCTGTCTTTTGTCATCAAGTCAAATCTTGTCAAATAGGATACTGTAAGTCACCCCACATGCAATCGCAGATTTCTTCAGTGTTTCAAACTGAATAAATCTGCCTCAGAAAGGAACAGATCGATGATGGCTGCCATAATGAAGGGTCAATCCAAACTGAAATCCTCAAACTGAACATTTCTTTTGGCCCTTCTTAATGAAGATTTTTTTGAAGGGTACATTCATGGGATGCTGTTGATTTCTATGACTCTTTGGTGTGTTTAATTTGTGGCACCAAGAATACAAGATAATACAGAAATGTATTGAAGGTTAACAGTTTCTTAGTCCTAACACCCTTCCTCCTCTAACTCTAAAGGGAAAAACATTCCTGCTCCAGAAATGACATTGTCCTGCAGAGTTTAAACCGTTGAATAATTACCTGCCTTTATTCATAATGAAGCACATTCTAAATACAGGATACAGGATAAATCTGCTTCCTAAGGGCACAGAAAATTGAACATTCAATACATACCGAAGTGTATAAAACTGTCCACTTTGTATCGTCCTTTGTAATGAAGGATTTTATAGTAAACTGTACCGGACAAAGGTGACACCACAATATTATACTAAACTATACAGTGGTCATCCAGGATGTAGTTTGAACCTACAGTACCTGGACTGGGCATTAGAATGCTCCATTCAATGCAGGCTTGTGTTTCCGTTGGAATAAATCCACCTCTGAAAGGCAGTGTACACAATTTTGTCCAAAGCAAACTCAGACTTGACAGCTTTGAGGGGCCTTTTTTGAATGAAGGATTTTGAAGGGTACAAGGAATGGGACACTGTTAGCTCCCATGATTTAGTATATATCTGATGTGATCATGATTGCATTTCAATGGTATACTTTACACCCTTCATCCCTGAATCTCACTTTGCAAAGTAAACCTTTTGACGGTATTTGGCCAATGGTGTCGAATCCTGATCCTGTTCAATGTCTTGCAGCTCCATATAACTTCAAAACACTTTCTAGAAGTTTCTAGTAAATCCAAAAACCTTGATTAAGGCATGTTTAATCAGAGTTGGAGCTGTGAAGGACAGTGGGATTCAGAAGATCATTTGGACACAACAGGCTTTGATTTGGGATGAACAAGATGAGTTTTTTTGGTCCCCACGACCATTCATATTTAAAAGCTCATTCCTTCAAAGGGATTAGGGCCTATGTAATATCCCTTTTCAATGAAACACAGCCTTACTTTGAAGGTGCATTTAGTAATTTGTTTGTTTAAAATACACTGAGAGTGTTCTTGTACTTTATTCCAAGACCAAGTGGTGTGGATGAAGTATCACACAAATTATTTTTTTATTTTGTATAAATCAGTCATAATATATAGTTCTCAGCATAAATGAGTACACCCATTGGAAAATGTGTTTTATTCATTTCTTAGCAACTATAGCCTATAGTGTTGGGGGCATTTAAACAAAACAGTTTTATTAAACGGTTATATCGATTAAATGGTCAGCTAATATCTTTAGGAATACATTCATTTAAATAATTTAAAATAAATTAAAATGATTTATTGCAAAAACAAATTACAAACTACAGAATTGGGTTGTTTCTGGTTAATTATTCCTGTTTATAAAAAAAACTTAATATTTTCCTCCAACATATTGATTTGACTGTACTTTTCTTGGACCAAGATCTTAAGTTATTTTGTTTAGAATAAAATATTAAACATATAATAAAACACATAATAAATTTAAAAAAATCCCGTTTTGGCTACTGACTAATCTAATGTACAATTGAGGTCAGAATTATTAGCCCCCCTCTTATTTTGATTTTCTTTTTAAAATATTTTCTAAACGATGTTTAACATAGCAAGGCAATTTTCAGAGTATTTCACAGTTTGTCTGATAATAATTTTTTTTTCCTGAAAAAAAAATCTTATTTTTTATTTTGGCTAGAATAAAAGCGTTTTTTTAATTTTTAACACCATTTTAAGGTCAAAATTACTAGTTCCTTTAAGTTATAATTTTTCGGTAGACTACAGAACAAACCATTGTTGTACAATAACTTGCCTAATTACCCTAACCTGCCTAGTTGACCTAATTAACCTAGTTAAGCCTTTAAATGTCACTTTAAGCTGTATAAAAGTCCCTTGAAAAAATCTAGTCAAATGTTATTTATTGTCATCATGGCAAATACAAAAGTAATCAGTTATTGGTAATCAGTTATTAAAACTATTATGTTTAGAAATGTGTTGAAAAAAATCTTAAACAGAAATTGGGGAAAAAATAGACAGAGGGGCTAATAATTCAAGGGGGCTAATAATTCTGACTTCAACTGTATATACACATTTATGTATAATATACATACTCATTTATGCTGAGCACTGGATATATATGGTTTAAGGTCTGAGAATTGTACAGGTGTGTAGTTTCTTGTAATATGAGGTAATCTGGGGTAATCAGAGACCAAATTGATGTTACTTTTTTAAATTTTAATGCGTACAGTATTACTGTCACTAAAAAAGAAAAAAAAAATTATTTGTCTTCGATTTTTTTTACGCATTGACAGGTCTGCATTGTCTGTTAAATGTGGTGTTTGTTATGCTACCCTTGTCGAAGTGATTTTTAAATTGTTGATGTGTATGTACAAAAATGAAAATATTTTTTAAGACAATGCATTGTGTCTCATCTATGCATTAATATTGTGTGCTTGTTTGCCTTGTTTTGAGGCAGTAAAGAACGAGATAGCATCAGGCAACAGAAAAAAAAAATATGAGAATCAAACAACATCTCTATATCCTTCACTGTTCTCCTGCTGCTTAAACCCCTCATTTGCAATCTAAAACTCTCATTAGGAGAGTTAAAAGTTTTCTGAAGCTGTGCAGTTGCATTTGCAAAGGTTGATGATCCAGGTAACAGCAGATGTTCTCAGTAGGGTCGTTATGGTAATAATGATAAGAAGATCATCTGCTGGTGCTCTTTTTCAATAATTAGGAGCATTTTACTCATTAGGAATGTAGGGCATGATTATGACTAACAAAAGGTGAACAACTGATCAACTTTTACATCTAAAAGTACAACTGTATGAGAGCAGATGAATTCATTTTGTCTGAAATCATTTCAGGGTTAAGTTTATGCTATTTATTTACTTTTTTTCTGCAAAGAAGTTCTACATTTAAAGTAATTTACTTATCTGAAAAGGATCAAGGGATACAATTCTTTCCATGTTACACACTCAACAGAACAACAGAGGGCAGCACACTCCAATAAAGTCAGATTATCTGCATGACTGATGGTCCACTTATAATCAAGACTTAATACAGCTTTATTTGAATGCACATCTCAAAAATATTCCTATAATATATATTTCATTTAAAAAATATTGCTGATAGCCAATTGATGCTCCGGTAATTGTGGGAAATGTAATAATAATTCCCACAGCAGTACACTTGAATGAACACAGGTCTACTGCATGTCTTACAAATAGTTGTATGAGAGCGACAGCACTTAAATGCTTTGACGAGTAGTGACAGAGGCCTGAGGCGAGGAACGGGACATGTGTGTGTAACACAGTGTGACAGGTTGACCTTGCCGTGATACAGTCATGTGCTTCTGTCATCGTTTGGTCACTCTGATCCTTGATGAACAACAAATGCATTAACAGTCTCTGTGAATGAGTGTGTTGGGATCTATACATGTTTTATTTGTATGTATGTATGTATATATATCTATATAATGGAGCTTGATGACATTTCTTCAAATTTAACACCTTGTGCAATAGTGTAATCCAAATTGCATTGCAATTGCAAAATATTACATATTGTGACTATCCTAGATGCTGCAACTTAGACAAAATGTAACGTGTGAGTGTGTGCCCACTTATTCATCATTATCATTTTTGACTCCCAACAAGTGACAATTGGTAGTGGCTTATATTATAGGAATTGCCAAGAACAACAATTTCGAAAAATCTAATTCTACTGAAGAAAAAGTCACCACTATAAAATAGCTCATCATTAACAATAACAGCTAATTGTCCTATCTCTTTAAGTGTCTAAATGTTTTGCACCAGTGCACTCATATAACCCAATGAAGACAGAAGAGAAGACATGTGTGCTTATAATAGATGACTGAATTTCAAATGTCAACAGATGGAAACTCTTTGCTAAACAAGAGGTGCATGAAAGGGATTTCTATATATATCTATACTCTTAGTGACACATATAATACAATGCATACAATCAATGTCATTCTTAAATATTTGGTAAATGTTGAAGAGCAGCTGTAACAGACTGTTAACAGAATAGCAACAGTCACTGTTACAGTAACTGTTAGAATTACACAAACCTGTATATGAAGTTTTAAACAGATTCTTATTCTTATTCAGCCCAGGAGCCATGTGAAGCAATTCTTCTATTAAGTATGGATGAGTTTTATTGGACTTGTTTTCAACTCAGGGTCACTGTGGATATGTAGCCCTGTATACATTTCTGGAGAGCACAAAATATGTCTAGGAGGGATGTTTTATTGCATTTTTTGATTTCACAAATCCACCAAAGGCTGCTGTTTATGCTTTATCAGACCTCAAATTTCTCTCACGAATGGCATTTGTGCCTGCTCTTTTTGTGTGAATCCACCAGAGGCCGCTGTTGACTAACTGAACGACGAACCGACCGATCCACATACCCAACCCCTTCCCTAAGTCCAACTAATAGTGTTTCCAAAAGCAAAGATTGACCTCCCTTCCACCTTTTCTAAACCCATCCGATAGTGTTTTCAAAAGCAATCCAGACAAAGAAAAGCCCCCTCGGTCTGATTTTTACCACTTTTACAGATCTTACCACATTTTCACCCTGTTATCCATGCTATTATTTATTTTTTTGTTTTATGTTCTTTCTGGAACCATTCTTTGTTGGACTTTAACACTTTCGTCGCGGCCAACTCCGCTCCACCTCCCAAGTCCTACAACGTACGCAGCAAGCCACTGGGCAAACTTGTAACAGGGGAAAAGCCATCCA